ACCCCAGAGTCGGCCACGACTGGACCTAATGGTCAGCGGTCCCTTTACCTTTACCTTTATAGATCCCTTGCTTATCAAGTGGTTATGTTCACCTCTTGGTTTAGGAGTAAATGGTAAAACCAAATGGTAATAATAATAATGTTTAGACTCTGCCCATCTGGCATGGTTGCCTCAGCCACTCTGGGCAGTTTCCAACATACATAAAAACATAATAAAATATCAAACATTAAAAACTTCATGATACAATCTCTCCCCAGTTGTCTGCATTCATGCTGTGCAGTCAGCCAAACATCCTGGGATACTGAATCCGACAAAATCATGATGTGCTGCAGAAACTAGTTCTTTATTGCCACATTCAGTTCCTTGTTTCAGAACAAGAACCCTCTCAAGGCAGCTCACAATGAATACCATGAAAGCAAAACACTGAAAAGTTTTTAAACTGAAACAGCAGCATAAAATGCATCCCTGCCCAGCACAACAATCCAAATACAGTGGTACCTCTGGTTACGTACTTAATTCATTCTGGAGGTCTGTTCTTAACCTGAGACTGTTCTTAACCTGAAGCACCACTTTAGCTAATGGGGCCTACCGCTGCTGCTGCGCCACTGGAGCACGATTTCTGTTCTCATCCTGAAGCAAAGTTCTTAACCCGAGGTAATATTTCTGGGTTAACGGAGTCTGTAACCTGAAGCGTATGTAACCTGAGGTACCACTGTAAAACACATTATGACTGCAATTCTATACAGTGGTGCCCCGCAAGACGAATGCCTCGCAAGACGGAAAACCCGCTAGACGAAAGGGTTTTCCGTTTTGGAGGTGCTTCGCAAAACGAATTTCCTATGTGCTTGCATCGCAAGACGAAAATGTCTTGCGAGTTCCTGCGGGGTTTCCCCCCCCCCCTTTTCCCAAGCCGCTAAACCGCTTATCAGCTGATGGCTAAGCCGCTTAACAGCTGATCGCTAAGCCGCTTATCAGCTGATCGTTAAGCCACTTATCAGCTGATCGTTAAGCCGCTTAACAGCTGATCACTAAGCCGCTTATCAGCTGATCCGCTAAGCCCGCTAAGCCGCTAATACCGTAGCGCTAATCCGCTAAACCGCTAATGGGCTTGCTTCGCAAGACAAAAAAACCCGCAAGACGAAGAGACTCGCGGAACGGATTCTTTTCGTCTTGTGAGGCACCACTGTATACCCTTGCCCATTGCATTCAGTGGGGCTAATACTTCTAATTAGATCAATAAAGGATTAAGCGCTGTGGTCTTGTGCCGAACCACAAACAAGCAGAGCTCAGTGGAATGGGAGGCCAGCCGACCAGAAAAGTCTCAGAGGTGTACTTAATAATAATAATAAATTTTATTTATATCCCGCCCTCCCCAGCCGAAGCCGGGCTCAGGGCGGCTAACAACAATAAAACAGTACAAAAGTACAGCATAAACAACACTCTAAAATCATTCATTATAAAATTTATTAATTCAAGCCACTGGCAACCATTGGGCCAGAGCTCTGCGAAGATTGCCGAGGGAGGGAGTCAGGCTGTGCCCTGGCCAAAGGCCTGGTGGAACAGCTCTGTCTTGCAGGCCCTGCGGAAAGATGTCAAGTCCCGCAGGGCCCTGGTCTCTTGTGACAGAGTGTTCCACCAGATCGGAGCCACGGCCGAAAAAGCCCTGGCTCTAGTTGAGGCCAGCCTAACCTCTCTGTGGCCTGGGACCTTCAAGATGTTTTTATTTGAAGACCGTAAGTTTCTCTGTGGGGCATACCAGGAGAGGCGGTCCCGCAGGTACGAGGGTCCTAGGCCGTATAGGGCTTTAAAGGTACTTGCCTGGAGGCAGAGTCAGTATCCAGTCAGGTCCAGTCCTGGGGTCAGGCGAACAGCAATCCACGTAATCAGATGGTCCAGGGGTCAGGGAATCTGTCCGTCAAGGGTCAAGGCAAGCAGGAAGCAGCAAGGTAGGACCAGGAACTACAAACACTGCTTCCAGCACCTGCCTATTGCTGGAAGTTCTGCTTAAGAAGGCTGAAGCCAGCTGGCTCTCATCATCTCAGTCCTTGAAGGCTGATCAGGTGCAGGTGGAGTCACTCCGCCTTCTCCCCCTTCAGGCTGCTGTTCAGCAGGCAAAACTGACTCCTGGCCCATGACTTTAAGAGGTAAACAACTGGTCATGATTTACAACAGAAAAAAGCAACTATTAAAGCCCAGTGCAGCTTCTTTAGCTAAAAGCAGATTGAAATAAAATGGTTTTAAAGGTCCACTTAAAAATGGATAGAGAAGGAACCAAGCAGACATCTGGGAAATTGGCCAGTTTCAATTTCTCTCAGTTTCTGATTCTTCCTGTCTTAAGTTCCGTTTTCCACATTTCCACCTCAGTTTGCGATTTTATTTCATTTTTTAAATGTCCTCATAAAATTCATCAGCTTTTCAGTCCAAAATGCTCCTAATATACGCTTTTTTCGGCAAAACAATTTCCCACAATAATGCATTGCCACACATTATTTTCATGGATGTGTGCATTCTTAATGCACATTTTGCCCCAGTCTATGTATTTTTGTACAAAATACTTGGCTGGAGAACTGCATTGCAAAAATTTGGAAAAGTGCAAATTTCAGGGGGTGGTTTATTTTTATCTATCTTTTTTAAAAAAATGTATATTGCCCTTTCCCCCAAATTGGTTTGCATATCACTTTGGAACCCAGTCAGATGGGTGGGATATTATTATTATTATTATTATTATTATTATTATTATTTGCAAAACAAGTAGGTTCACCTTTAAATGTGAGGGATTGGTTTTGCCTATATCCATTCACCCTGTGAGAAGGTGAGCCCAGAACAGCAATATTTGTAGTTGTCTTCTGGTCTGGGGATGGAATACCATCATCTATCTGGCATTTTTACTGTCTGTCTCTCCTTAGACATAAAACTACATGAAGATGCTGGTAGGTTTGTTTTTAAAAGAAACGAAACAACAACAGGTGCTTTTCCTGGTTGCAATGAAAGGTATGACACATAATGTATCTGTAAAAACATAAGACAAGTAAAGGCAATGAGAAATACCCAACAAGCGCTATCATTCTTTCCTCATGCCCATCATTAAAGGTCCAGTCGTGGCTGACTCTGGGGTTGCGGCGCTCATCTCGCTTTATTGGCCGAGGGAGCCGGCGTACAGCTTCCGGGTCATGTGGCCAGCATGACTAAGCCACTTCTGGCGAACCAGAGCAGCGCACGGAAACGCCGTTTACCTTCCTGCTGGAGCGGTACCTATTTATCTACTTGCACTTTAACGTGCTTTCGAACTGCTAGGTTGGCAGGAGCAGGGACCGAGCAACGGGAGCTCACCCCGTTGTGGGGATTCGAACTGCTGACCTTCTGATTGGCAAGTCCTAGGCTCTGTGGTTTAACCCACAACGCCACCCACGTCCCTCATGCCCATCATTAGATTCTACTAATAACCCAATTTCCCATTTTTTAAACACTTTGGACTACCAGTGCTATAAACTGTAATTCCAAACTAGACCCATTGCACTTTTATCCTGCAGATGGCAGAGTTGTACAGTTTTTTGCAATTCTTATTGCTAAAATGTCCAGCATGACTGTGCTGCTCTTGCAACTTTTTCTAGGTTTTTAAGTATTTTTTTTAATTTATAAATTTCCTGTGTCATGCTATCATGACTCCTATGTGTAGTTTATTATGTGCTTTCACTGCACACATATTTATTTCAGTGCATGGACACATTTTGGGAAGCCAGTGCCTGGGCTTTAGGGCCTGCGCAGTAGGCATCATGCCTAAAACTCATTGCAAAATTTCCACATTTTGCATTTGCCATTTGGGGAGAAGATCCTTTAACATCCATATGCACTTATTGTGCAGTAGTACTTGCAGAAGATAACTTCTAGAGAATACCTGATCTCAGACAAACCCACAACAGGAAAGACGCATATGCTATGAAAAAAGGAAGGACATGCTACTAGAATATAAAACAGAAGCAGGGAAAGTGCCTGAAATGAGTGGGGCGAACAGCAGCTCTTTAGGAATCCAGGGATTCCTATTACCTGGTGTCACTTATATTATTTCACTCATGGACTTATTTTTATGTTGTGATCTTCAGAGGAAGGATGGTATGCAAATAATAATAATAATAATAATAATAATAGGCTAAAAACACTGTTTTTAGGCAGGAACAGCCAGAAATACTTGCACATCTTGCTTTATAATACTCTAAAGACTGACTTAAAAAAAACAAAAAATGAAAGTTCAGTGTCTGGGGCTCGTTCCCAGGGCCACCAATGAAGGCCCTTGTGATTGCAGTCACCAAGTTGGCAGCCCCTGCAAATGTTCATTTGTATGTCTGAATACGTCTGTCTTCTGTGAGTCCATCTTGTATGAGCTCGTTGAATTTTGTACCTTAAACCCATAATGCTGACCAAGTTCAGGACCTGCCACTCTCTTACTCCCTTCATTCCACCAGGCCACTCACCCATACCAATATTCCTACAATTGATCCTGACATACAAAATGTGGCAGGATTTTATGGCAGGGAGATCATTTACACCTATATGGTTCTTCAACTCCATCCATGGGGAATCTCTGGTCCTCCAGATGTTGTTGGACAACAGCGTCCATCATACCTATCCATTGGCCTTGCTGGCTGTGGCTGATGGGAGTTGGAGTCCCAACAACAAATGGAAGGCCACAGGTCTCTGTCCCACCGCTGTATGTAAATTACAGGGCTAGCTGTACTATGAAGCAAGATAAAGTGGCCGCTTCAGGCATCAGAGTCTAATGAAATTTTCCTGTGCTCAGTCTATCTCTGTGTGCCATAAAAAAGAGGGGCATCGTGTTGACCTTTTTGTAAACATTGTATAAGGCTGGGAAGTGTTTATGGGATGTGCAACACTGGACTAGAAATCTTCAGACAATGTTGGCCAGCCTGTGGAGCAAAGAGTGTCAAAAAATGGCACAGAGCCGATGGGAGTATAATAATAATAATAATAATAATAATAATAATAATAATAATAATAGTTTTTTATTTATACCTTTCCCATCTGGCTGGGTTTTCCCAGCCACTCTGGGTGGCTCCCAACAGATAGTAATAATATAATAAAAAAGTGATAAAACATCAAACATTAAAAACTTCCCTAAACAGAGCTGCCTTCAGATGTCTTCTAAAAGTCAGATAGTTGTTTATTTCCTTGACATCTGATGGGAGGGCGTTCCACTACCAAGAAGGCCCTCTGCCTAGTTCCCTGTAACCTCACTTCTTGCAGGGAGGGAACTGCCAGAAGGCCCTCAGCGCTGGACCTCAGTGTCTGGCCTGGACCATGGGGGTGGAGACGCTCCTTCAGGTATACTGGGCTGAGGCTGTTTAGGGATTTAAAGGTCTGGCTGTGTCACCAAGTCCGGTCAATACTCTTTCCCCCCTCTCCAGCATATTAGCTGTCCTTTTATTCGTTTAAATACTTTTCCCCTGCTCTTCAGCTGAAAAGGTTTGATCATAATCCATAAAAAGCAACATAGTCTCTGTTCACAAGCTTAGCGTCTAAAAGACACAACACCTAAAATGAAAGGAGATGAAGTAGAAAGAGGCAAACAGACTCCACTTCTTAAAGTTTTATTTTAGTACTTTTATAATGGCAGTGTGAACTGGAAACAGGAGCCAAATGGGGCTGCGGTCTCAGCGAAGCCAGTGGAGTAGCTCAGATTCCCTGCTCTCCCTCTGCTCAAGCCTGATGTTCCCTAGTTCATAGACTGGGAGCAAAAAACCACACCAAGGCATGGGGGTGAAGTGAGCTGTCTATTGCACTGCCTCTGGAATTCATTTGTGGAGCACTTGCCAAAATAAATGAATAAATGGTCATCACTATTTGTGGGATTGGTAGGGGATGATCCTGCTGTACTTATAGTTTTAGGGACTTTCAGATTTTCTGATACAGTACACTCTAAATAGCACTCCGCATTAACTATGCTCATCGTTTGCTTATCTACTGACACTACATTTCAGTGACACCGACATCATCTGCTTTAGCTTACATAAATGACTACCCTGGTTTGAGCTTCAATCATACTCATACAGAATATGACAGCATTCTTGACCTTTGGAAAAAAATGTGAGGATAAACCCCGCTGCTAAATCTGTTACCAGGAAGGTTCCGAGTGTTGCCGCAGCCTCTCAAGTTGACTAATCTGCCGTACTAAGCTTAAAACACTTTATTTAGGTGATTATTAAAATATCATGGACTGAACTCAACCAGCCTGCTCTCTCCGTTTTCGCCACGCGCCAGCAGGGGTAAAACTGGGAGCTACTAGGAAAGGGCACAGCTGCTTGAAAACAATTCTCAGTGTGAAAATTAATAATAACAACAACAGATTACCAACTCTCATGGTTTAGATGGGTTTTCTGTTGGTTCCTGAAGACTTGGGGTGTGTTCACATTACCTGAGAGAACAGTGAAGTTGTTTTCCCTCCCTCCACTGTGACCAGCTCCCAAAGCAGTGGGTGGCATTTAAAGTACAATAGGAGAGGATTCTTGGTTGGGTTTGGTTCTAGGCACCTTGGAATCATTCCTTACTCTGATGTCTCATCAATGTCAGTTGGTAGCTGGGAGGAAGGAAGAGCCTCAGATGGAGTTGGAACCTAGCTGCCTGATACAGCCATGTGGTGGTTGGACTGACCATTTGACTACCCTTATAATAATTATAATAATTACCTGGCATTGTAATGTGACATTGTACATACTTCTCTCTCTCTCTCTCTCTCTCTCTCTGTGTGTGTGTATGTGTGTGTGTGTCACAAATGAAGCAGCCCTTGTGTATGTGTTTTAATGGGCCTATTTTGGGATGTGTTAAATGCATGCGTGGTCTCTGTTGTAACATTAGAACCAGGCTGTGGAAACTTAGGTTGCTAAAATAAATCGTTGAAATTCAATATCCGGGAATACTTGTGGAACAGGGTGTTCATTGTCAAACACAAATATTCTGACTGAGAGTTTCAGGGCTTCAGCTTCACGTGCTGCAATTTTACTTGCTTTCAGTAAGCATTAGTGTAAAATTCAAAAAGTGACCAAAGGTGGTTAATCAAAATTTTGCTGCAATTTCTGTCCAATTCCTCGTAAGAAAGTACAAATATATTATAATGTCATGGCAAGGAAGATACCAACCTGGCCCCATCCGTTGGCTAGAGAAAACGAATCTGCAGAGATGTTGCTTACCCTCCCTGTTAACAATGATAAGAAAGAACTCTGAACTAAGAACTAGTGCCTGTGTTTTCTTATTTTCCTCCTCCCTCCCAATTTATTTTCCTTTTGTGCCGTGCCTTTTAGATTGTAAGCCTAAGGGCAGGGACCATCTTAGTCCTGATCATGGTAAGCTACTCTGGGAACCTTTTTCAGTTGAAGAAGGAGTTTAAAATACTTCATACATTTAAAGTGTTTAAAGTGATTAAAGTAACATGTAGCTATGGTTAAAAAAATAATAATCAAGAAAACAACAATAATATGTGGTGACCCTCAAACATTTATCTTACTTACAAAAAGACAGATAGTTATTTACACAGAACACACACAAGCAACAATAGAAAAAGTCTCCAGAGTTTGATAATTACCCAAAATGAAACGAAAAAAGGAAAGATTCTCATAGTATTGAAGAACTTTAAAAGAACCCCATCTCTATTGTATATGATCTGCTCGTGAATAAGAAGCCCAATATGCTTCAAAAGGTCCTCAGTGTTAACTTCTATGCCAGCTCACACAAAAGCAGCACATCAGTGAAAGGGGGCCTGCAATTTGAAGTAGGGATGGGCGAGAAATTCCATTCGGTTTGCATTTAAATCAGAATTTATCAAACTTGCACTTTCCAAAGCAGTATGAGAACTGAAAACATAACCATCCTTTGAAATTCACACGTATCCAAATTTTGTGATGCAGTTTTCTAACTAACCTGTGTTTACAAAAAAATGCATTTATTTAGCAAAAGCATGCCATTGGCCAGGGATGGAGGGAGCTGTAGTCCAGCAACATCTGGAAGGCAACATCTGGTTAGCCCCTCCTGCTCTACAGCCATTAGCAAAACATTGTATGGATTGAAATGCAGCCTGGTTGTTACCTAGAATGTCATTAGAGAATAGAATTATCAAAAGTCTTAAATGAATTTATTAATCAATGACCACCTGTCATGGATGCTTTTGTTGAGATTCCTACATACCAGAGGGTTGGACTAGGTGCTCCCAATGCTACAATTCTATGACATCATACCTTTTGACTAAATTATCTTGAAGATGGTGTGCTATAGACTGTGGCCACACACAGCGAGAACTCACAACCTTGATTTCCTAGCCTATGGCCATCAATATCATCCACCAAAGAAGGATGGAATCAATCTACAATCTGCTACGCCTTGGAGTAAGTCCCATTGAAGTCAACTGAATTTACTTCAAAGTAGACAGGTGTAAGTTTGCACTGTAATTCACCTTATTCTTATATAGGGAGAGTGAATATTCTTCACTGAATGAGAAGTGCATTTGCTAACACTGTACTGAAAGCAACGGGGAAATTCCCTAACCAAAGGCAGAATAACTGCAGCAGTTTTATGAATAAGGTTCTTCATTTAGAATACTGTTGAAAACATTCTCAGAATTTCAAGTTTTAAAAGGTACTAGACAAGGATGCCCCTTATCTCTGCTATTGTTTAATCTGGTATTGGAAGTACTTGCAAGAAAGATAAGGGAGGAAGAGAGAATAAAGGGCATATGGATAGGACAGAGAATATATACATTTAAATCCTTTGCAGACGATGTAGTTATAACAGTAGAGAATTCTTTGGAAAGCCTACCAACAACCTTGGAAGTTATTACAACGTTCAGCAACCTGGTGGGATTTTATACTAATAAAGACAGAAAGAAAATGCTAACTCAGAATATAAATAACAAAACAAAGAAAGAATTAGGAAATGACTTAGGAATCAAAGTGGGAAAGAGAATTAAATATTTAGGAGTCTGGACTGCATCTGAAAATCTGAACTTATTTCAAGACAACTATAACAGAGTGTGGACTGAAATGAAAAAAGACTTTCAAAAATGGGAGTGCCTGAACCTGTCTTTTCTGGGTAGGATATCTGTAATTAAAATGAATGTCCTGCCCCAAATGATATTTTTATTTCAATCATTACCTGTAATATCCAACTCCAACTGCTTTACAAAATGGAAAAAAAGATATATTAAACTTCCTATGGCAAAAGAAAAAAACAAGGATAAAAATAAAATATTAATAGATGAAAAGCAAAGGGGGTGGGTTTCTTTCCCGGATCCGAAACTTTACTATGAAGCAACCTGTCTAAGCTGGATGAAAGAATGGATAGAACTGAAGGAAGTGAATATATTGGTTTTAGAAGGGACCAATCTGATATATGGATGGCACGTGTACCTATAGTATGAAAAAACTAAGGTTCACAAGGGTTTTTATGATCATGTGATTAGAAGAAGTTTATATAAGGTCTGGATGAGACACAAAGATATCCTAGAAAGAAAGACTCCCGGTTGGATTTCACTGGTAGAAGCAGTTGCAGTAAAAAGGTTAAATATGGATAGGACTTGGGGAAAGTATAAAGACATCCTTGAATACAAAGAGGGCAATATAAAACTAAGAGATAGGCAAAAGATTATCTATCTGGATATCTGACTGGTTTCAATATTTTCAAACAAAGGAGATGTTTCGAAAAGATAAAGAAAGAGGATCCATTCAAGAAGCTTCAGAATTTGAAAAAAGTGATTTGGGGCCCAACAAAAAACTAATCTCAAAAATACATAAATTATTGTTAGAATGGGAGACCAAAGATGAACTCATAAAGGAGGCAAGGATAAAATTGGCCATTGATATTGGGCATAATATTGAAATTGTTGCATAGGAAAAATTACGGAATTCAACAATGAACTTCTCTGCATGTATAGATGGTATTTGACACCAGTTAAATGGCCCAATTTGTACAAAAGAGGTTCAAAACGTTGTTGGAAATGCCTAGACGCAGAGGTTGCATTCATTCATTTATGGTGCAAATGCATCCGGACAAAGGAATTTCAGAAAATGGTGAAAAAAAGTTTAACTCACATTCCCCAAGAAACTGGAAGAATTCCTTCTAGGCATACTTGGGAATGAGTTACCAAAAAAGCCCACAACAGCTGCGAGGACAGTATGCACAAGATACTGGAAACAAAGAGAGACTCCAGGAAAAGAACAATTGTTAAATAAATTAATTGAATATGCAGAGCTTGCAAGTACGACATCTAAAATAAGAAATCAAGAGACAAACAGAGGAGTGAGTGGAAGTATCTAGGGGAGTATTTAGAAAAAAATGATCTCAAATACAGTGGGCTCTTGGTTTGCAACCGCTTTGGATTACAACCGTTTTGGATTACAACCACGTCAAACCCAGAAGCGTGTGTCCCTTTTTAAAAAAATTACAACCCATTTTTTTAATGTTACAACCAATTTTGGGGGGGAGGCCCCATTGGTGAAAGCGCGCCTTGGATTACATCCTGTTTTGGTTTACAACCAGGCCTCCAGAACAGATTATGGTTGTAAACCAAGGTGCCACTGTATAAATTTCAGGTAGAGGATACCTTGTGACCAACAGTTGACAATATTAAGGTTATGAAAATGTGGGAAATAAGGTAAAGGAATTAATGTATATGCAACTAAGCAAGATGTACAAAGAAATGTTATGGAATGCTGGCTGGGAAGTCTAAAAGAACTACTGTATAAGAACGGAAAATAATGTAATTGTAAAACTGAAAATCTAAAAAATAAAAAAAGGAAATTCCCTAACCAAAGGCAGAATAACTCCAGCAGTTTTATAAATAAGGTTCTTTATTTAGAATACTGTTGAAAACATTCTCAGCATCCACATTGTATAAATATATAAAGTTAAAGTTTGGCACGACAAACCAAGCAACATTAAATACGTAAATTTTTTTGGGTTGTTTTGTTGGAATCTTTTCTCTTTTTTTTGCAAAGCAACTCTTATTTACAAGTATACAAAATAAGTATTTTAAAAAATGGTCCACAACCTTTTTTTAAAAAATATACGTGGATGTCTATGTTTCTGAGGAGAAAGGAAGGCTGCAATCCTATAATGTGTCTACTCGGAATTAGGTCCCACTGATTCCAATGAGGCTTACTCCCAGGCAAGTGTGTATAAGAAGAGTGCAGCCTTAGGTTGCTTAACAGTGCAATCCTATGCATGCCTCCTCAGAAGTAAGTCCCACTGAGTTACTTACATGGGCCTAACCCCACGTCAGTGGGCATAGGATTGTAGGCCAAGTCAGACTGAAATCCGTGGTAGTTAAGCAACCTTTGTGCAGGTTCACCTCAAGAGTTTATTCCTCACAGGATCTGAGAAGACCCTCAAACTTAAGGATACCCCTTTTTAAAAGCACAGATTCAACATTAGCCATTTCATGGTATGCAATTCTAAAGTTCTTCTATATACAAATAGCTTTCGTTTATAACTAATAAATAAGTGTATTTTGAAGTAATGCAAGCTTGGAATCATTAGATACAGATTAAAACTGGTAAGGAAAACCAAAAACCCACAAGTACTGTCTTTTTCGATCTTCGGAAGGCAGGCTTAAGTGTATCGGCTGAGATCCACTCCTGTTGGCAGTTTCTGTCCCCCATGGCTTTATAGCACTTGGTAGATGGGGTTGCTGCTGCTGCTGCTGCTGACATTGTCCTGAGGGAGAGGGGTACAGGTAGCTGGAGAGGAGATTTGGGCTCCAGGCTCGCTCAGGCTAGCCCCTTCCTGGAGTGAGCAGGGGCTCCCCTCGGTTCCACTTTCAACTGTGGACAGGCTGGCACAGGCAGTGCTGTCTGTCGAAATCCTCTCCACGATGCTCGACAAGCAATCTAGGCTGGAAATGACCGAACTCTTCCCTTGCTTTGAATCTGAGGACAAGGAGATCAGGAAGTCTCAGAAGCAGTACCAAGGAGAAGCTGTTTTGCCATAGGGTCCCCACTGACAACAACACACACCTATTCATAGGTGAATCAACAGGCCTCGTACAGTTCTGAGAGGTGTCAATGGAAATTAAAAGCCAAATGAGTTATATAAAAGGTTTCTTTATTAATAAGGGGGAGGGCTCACTTGCCATCCTGCCCACAGCTGCCACCTTGTCTGTGGCACCCCCCCCCCACTGGAAACTTCCTCCACATACCGGTAGATAGCATCTTCTTGCCAAAAGCTAAAAAAACACTGTTTTTTCCCCAAGCCTTCTGAGAAGGGCAATTGGGGCTGCTGTTTTCAAAACTCTGAATGCTGGGACTTGCATCATTGTTTTATTACAGTTTTTATATACGAGTGCTTTAGTGTTTTATTTTGTTATTATGTTGGATTGCATGTATGGCACTGTGGACTTCCTTTGGGCGGGAAGGTGAGGTGAAAAAGTAATAAGCAAACACAACAATAAATAAAGATTAATATAAGTTGTACAATGGCCTTTGAAGGCAAAAAAGCACCCAATAATTTTAAAGTTTTGGTCCAATTGCCATTTTTTTAAAAAAGAAGATTGTGGTCTATAATTAAAAAAATGTAATGTACAAGTTACATTAAAAGGCATCCATCAAAATAATAATAGTAATAATGATCAGAATGTAAAAGTAATAATAATAATATTTGTGGAGAGCATAATATAGAATAATGTATTTCTTATGAGGCAGATACTTACCATTTAGTGTTTCTGTATAGTAGCTACTGTCATAGCTGTTCCTTCTGCGGGAGCTGCAAGGGGGTCCACTGTAATCCAGCTGGAAACAAAACCAAGACATTAGGTCAGAAATACGATCAGGGCTACCAGGTGTCCAAATGTGTATAGGAGTTCTTAAGGGTGCACACATGTCATTCACACTTTATGCGTTTGCTCCAGGAAACACACGTATAACAATCCAGCCTTTTAAATGAAAAGAGGAGGAAAGCATGGACTAAACTCGGCCCTCCAGCTGTTTTGGGACTACAGCTCCCACCATCCCTAACTTACAGGACCAGTGGTCAGGGATGATGGGAATTGTAGTCCCAAAACAGCTGAAGGGCCAAGTTTGGCCATGCCTGCCTTAAAGGATTTTATGCGCCTTTAACCTCTTTGTTTATTTGTGGTTTTCTCTTCTTGACTTCTAACATGCATTTGCTCTTTGCTACATTTGGCAAGAGACAAACTCAGCAACTGTATAAATTCCTATCATGACTTCTTATAGGTGGGTGGGTGACTACACTTATTTTACATCCCCTTACATTACAGCCCTTTGAATGTGCTGGGACCAATATGAACCAATACATCTGAGGATTGTTCTGTTATCTATACCTGCCATGTCCAAACATGGAACAAGAAGGTGACAGGCAATTTTTGAGTAGCAAATTCCACTTCACTTAAATCTCTCCTGATTCCAGTAGTAAGCACTGGACTGGGAGAAAGAAAGAAAAATCTCTCCTCTGTCTCTCTCCCTGCCTCTGTCCCTAATGCATGCTGTTGGTTACCACTCAATCTCTCTCTCTCTCTCTCTCTCTCTCTCTCTCTCTCTCTCTCTCTCATACATAAACATTGCCTCTCTTTGGTGCGTTCCTCCTCCACCACCTAACACAGGCGCAGTTTGTCATGAGGCCACTACCCACCATTAGCACAATGCAAGATATGGTCATCACTGCTTTGTACATCACCGCTAGCTATAGCCAGTCGCTGAATATCTTGCCACAGTCCTATCCGTCCCATTATAGCCCCAAACAAACTGCAGTCTTGCACATATCTGCTCAGAAATAAAATAAGTCCTGGATTAGCAGGTGCAAGTTCCACTGAACTCATATATAGGTTTGCATAGTAAATAACACTGGTTGTGTACTAAAACGTTTTAGTGGCTGCCCTCTAAAGATGGTTGTACTCCATGGTTATAGAAGCATCTGCTTTCAACTGCCCCTTTCCTGCAGGGTCGCATGAGATCAGAGCTTGATATACGCTGCCAGCCACTGTCTCAAAAACCCAACTTTATTACATAGAAGTGAATAAGTATCTCTTTCCCAAGTGTCAAGAAATCACAGCAGAACCAGGCAAGAAGGCTATTGTTTCTTTCTCCAAGCATAAAGTCATTACAGTACTCCTTGCAAGAGCACTATGCCCTGGGAGGACAAGGGGACATGAACTTCAGAAAAGTACTCATGTCATTCTGTAGCAGCAAAAAGACAGAGCAATATTTCATTTCATTGTTCATTGGTTTACAGTTTGATCAGTAAACTGCATGGGGGCCGCAGTGTTTTATGTTGCCGATTGCTTTTTATTGTATTATTTTATTCATTGAATTGTATGTCCCAGTGGGAGCCTATGTTCATAGAATTCATGACTAAATGAATAAAAGTGGTGGTTTAGGTGTCCCAATCCAGTGCTTATTCGCTGAGAATTGAATTACGCAGAATTCCTTTGGGTTTATGCTTGCAGCCTAACTAGTTCATTATGGCCTGAGAAAGAAATTGCTTTCCCTCCTCTGATCACCCAGGTCTATCTACTCTAATAGTACCAGAAGAGAGAGAAGTTTCCCCCTTGTATCCCAGATTCCCTGAGAGTATGCTGGAGGAGCCATGTCACCACGATCCCCAAGAGAAAGAGAAGAAATCTCCTACACTGTGCCAAAGAGGAGCCCCCTTTTGGAGGGCTCAGCCAGCCAAGGAAACCTCCCAATGGGACCAGGGCACAGCAGAAGGCTAATATCTGGACAAAGATGTTACCCAGAGGATGTTCTGTTCTCTGGAGAAACAGGACTGCTCCTGGGTAACAACCCCCCCCCCCAAAAAAAAACACAACAAAAAAATCCCTGTACTCTTAAGACACAAAGATTAAAAGAGGATGGTCCTTTCTCCCAGGGGAATCAGAGTACAGAAAACAAGTTTTCTCTCTGCTTCTAGTGGATGCTCAGTGTTTTAACCCACTGATCTCAAGGGTGCTTGCTCCCAGAAGATGGTACACATAGAGGTGAAGTCTTCATTTATTTGAAAAGAGATGCGGGGAGCTTAAGCCTTCTAGGAAATGATGCCCCCAGTTCTCCTGGTCTATATTCCAATGAGGGACTGTGATTACTCAGAGGTGGCAGAAAAGAACTCATTACATGCTCAGGGTGTGTAGTGACCTGGCATGTCGCGGGGCTTTGTCATGACACTGAAGATTCTTGGTCTTAGTTTGGCTGAAGACAAAGGAGAAAGCTTCTTTGGGCTCCGTTCCCTCCCTAGATCATGGCACAGAAAGAAATCTAAGTGTTAGAACTGCCGTTCTATTTCGGGCACAGCTCCTGCACCTTTAACACTTACATGACCAACAGGCTTTTAAGAGATACCCGCTTTGCTACCATAAAGATAGAAATCGCCCCTGTGGGCTGCCTGCTTCTCATAGGCATGGGAGCCAAGTCAAGAACAAGGCCTGCGTTTGCGCGGAAACCTGAAACTCACCATGCCGTCGGAGCAGTTGGATCGGGGGCTGGAGGCGTCCGAGTCGCCGCTATAGTGCTCCAGCACCGGGTAGTAGGCGTCCTCTTGCTCGCGCAGCAGCGCCTGGAGGCTCTCGATGTAGCGGATGGCGTTGCGCAGGATCTCCACTTTGGGCAGGCGCTGGTTGGGGTTGGTGGACGTGCAGCGCTTGAGCGTCTCGAAGGCCTCGTTGACCTTGCTGAGCCGCCTCCTCTCGCGCATGGTGGCCGCCTTGCGGCGGTCGGCGTTGGTGGTCTTCCTCTTGCACGCCTTGCACGCCCACAGCAGGCAGCGGCCCGCCTGGTGGTGCCCGCTGGGCGCGCGGATGTGCTCGTCCTCGTGGCCGTGGTGGTGGCCGTGCTCGTCGGCCTTCAGCAGGCCCCCCACGTGCACCAGCCGGGGGTCCAGGTCCTCGAAGAAGTGCATGTCCGACGTGTTGAAGCAGGGGTCGTCGTAGAAGTCATCGGCGGCCGAGAAGGAGCAGAGCGAGCCGTCGGTGATCTCCATGTGGCCTAGCACGTCCATGGGCGCAGGCAGCGGAGGAGGAATGACTCCACAGAGGCTGGACGGAGGGAGAGCGAGAGAAAGAGAGAGTCACCCCGAGCTCAGCTCCTGGCTTTAAAGAACCCCGAGGGGGCGAGCGGGCTTCAATCCTGACGACTCCAGCAGAGCCAAACGTCGGTGCGCTTCTTTTCCCGGGTCAGACAGGAGAGGGAGGCGCTGGCTTGCTGTGAAAGGGGGCTTCATTCACTCTTGGTCCCCCTTTCCCCCTTGCTCTGCTCAGCCTGCCATGGGGAAAGCGAAATGCCCGTCGCGGATGCCATCCAAACCGCTCTATTTATCCCAGAAGCGGGGGTGGGCATTGCTCCGAGGCCACCTCTGCTCCACCTGCCGGCCTATCCCTCGGCCTCGCCGAGCCAGTCGCCGGGGTCTCGCAGGGGGCGGGAGGGGCGGGAGGGGAAGGGGAGCCTCGCCCGGATTGGACGGCGGCGAAAGTCCCTGTCCGGCAAAAGGCTGGGGGAAAGTGGCTGCAAATGTCAAACAGCAGCCGTCCGAGAGAGAGCCTCGAGGGGGAGCGGGCGGGGGGATCACAGGCGCTTCGCTTTAATGCAAAACTTTATTTTCTGCGTGAGATCTCCCGCTCCCACTTGCCCAGATGGCATTCTTGAGAAAGGATCGCGCCATGGTTTTAATTCGTTTAAAAAGTGCTGCACGGGCTCCTTGGGTCATTTGCGAAACGCATAAAGGCAGATGTGTAATAAGGAGGGGATGTTTGCCAGTTTAATAGTTTGTGTTTTGGTTTTTGGTTTTGTTCGAGGCTGTTATTTTCTCTCTCCGCAAGTAATCAACGATCTATATTAACCATCCGTTCAAGAAGTTACATACTGTACAATCCAAATATATAGCGAAAGGGGGGGGGGGGACCTTACTGTTACAAGACTGTGTGAGAGAGGTCGTAATCTGGGGTTTTTCAGGGATCATAAAATAAAGAACGCGGCAATTATGTTGATTGGTTTGTGAAGACGTTCTAGAAGAATGGTTTTCTCCTCTAAATGCTTAAATAAAAATTTTCACGTTTTGGAAAGGGCTTCTGCTGGACTTTCCCATCGAAGTAATCGTGTTATGGAACTATTTCGTTTTGTTTGACGTTCCTATGCTTTTTATTTTATTTTACTTTGTTGGGAGGTGGTGATCTGAATTTGTAATATCAGGTGTTAATGATATTGTGTGCGCGCGCGTGTGTGTATTGCTTCACAAAAAATCGTTTATCTCAGAGTTATCTGTTAATGTCCCCGATTCCGTTCATGAACCGACGTGCGCTAACGATTTCAGGGGCATGAGTGTGCTTTTCCTCCCGTAGGAGCACGACCCAGCCAAAGCGAAATACATTTTAGAAACTCACTTGCAACAAATCAAGCCAGGGTTTTAAAACGCCTTGCATTGAAATCCGCGGGACTACGGCTTGTGCCTTTTATTTCTTTCGATATCAGTTTCCTGTGACTTGAGAAGTGTTGTGGCTCAAAATAAACCAGGTTTACCCTCCCATCAGCTCTTTAAAAGAAAGAAAAAAAGATAAGAAAAGATGAAAGCGTTCTTGTAAACGTTCCCACTTAATGGCTTTACCTTCTGTGGGATTGTGAGGATACCTATCCCCCTTTCGGACAAACGGCAGGCAGGATTTTGAAAAGGTGGGGGTGAGAAAAGAAGAGACATCTTCACATAATTTCTGATTATATCTGACCGAAGCCAGCTCCTTCTCCTCGCCACGCCAGTTTTCTGCGTCTCACCCCCGCCAGCTCCCCGTCAGAATGGAGATCACCTCTCTCCTGTTTGCTTCTATGGCTTCGACGCCAACACTAGGACGGGCGTCTAATAAGAGCCGAGCAGGTCGCTAAGCGGGCGGGTCACTATTCATTCCACTTAGAACTTTCGCACTGCAGTCGCTGTGACTGAGCCGCCTCTATTCCGAATATTCCGATGTGACGGATTCGCAGACAGGAGACATCTGGACCCCCGAAGGCAGCGATGATGTACATTTAAAATCCAATTTGCGCTAGCGCGGCATTTCTTTCTGTGTTTAAATTAGATATGGGCGGAGGGGGAGGGGACACACCGGTGTGCACGATCGCTAACCTGCAGCCAACCAACCAATTCTAATCGCAGGAAGGAGTTCCACAACTGTAAAAATCCCAGCCACAGGTGGAGGGGGGGGTGCGCGCACGGGGAAAGCAGGCCTCTAATGCCCCAAAGGGAGCCTGGGATCGCATTGCGCACTTTTGCCAGGGAATGGAGTCGTGTAACAAGTCGTGTAGGAACTTTCGTTCAGGCTCCGAGTGGGAGAAAATGGACCTTTTCCAAAGCGCCTTCCTTTTTCTTCTCTAGCTACTTTGCGGGGTGCGGGTGGAGAGCTCGGTATCCTAAGTATTACACCTACTGAGGCTGCTATTCAGTGCACACTGAGCTAGCCTCAATAAAGTCAGTGGGATTTACTTGGGCACGTATCGGATCGCACTATTGTGGGGGTAAATCTCCACCACCAAGCAGCCAGTGTGGCTCTTTCTGGGGTGGAGTGAGGGAGGTTCCTGGGAGCTCTAAGAAGTAAGCCCAGTTGACACGTGAATTAAACACGTTTTAAGTGGAGCTGGATGGCGCTGATAAAGGAACCCAGGAGCCGGCAAACTTCAGGCTTGTGGAATCGACTTTTCCCCCCGATAACCAAACCTGGGTGCGAGAGGCAGACGCTTAAACCACTCCGAGACCAGGGGTTCGTTTGAGTACCAGAACTGAACACAGTCGCTCCACACGCACAATCGCCCATGTGGAGCCCCGACAAATCCCAGTAGTGCAAGTTGAGGAAGCGGAGAAGATTTTTGTTAAACAATTGGGAGGGAAAAAACCCAAACCGGTTTACTTCAAATTGCCCAGAAATCAAATAACAGATTCTGATTTTTTGTTATAGCAAGAGTAGAGGAGCCTCAGGCCTGCTGTTGCACGTTGATCACTGGCGTGGCATGTTTCATGCACTTTCATAATGCGCAGGAAGACGCTTCTTCACACTGACCAAAGAAAGGGTCTGTTTTCCTAAATTATCTGCTTTCCCATCCAGGCTTCCCCGCAGCCTAAGCTGTCCCTTCCAGCTGCCTGCTTGAGCTTTTCAGTCACAGTTATGAAAACCCTGTCTTCAGTGAATATCCATTGAAGACCTAACAATCTGAGGTTGCAACAGTTTCTAGCAGCTGAGGATACAGGGCTGTTGTTGCTACCCAATAAAGTGGGGTTCCAAACTCTCCATTGGGGAGGATCGGAAATTTAAAGGGGGTGCAGAGATCCTCTAATAAGGATAGCAACTTTCCAGACATGTGGGAAGGACAGGCAATGGCAAAGTGATGAGCTGTAAAATGTTAAATAGGAGTTAGGTCCCATCGTGTTCTGTTGGATTTACCTCCATGTAAGCATGGAGGAACCAGGTGGCGCTGTGGTCTAAACTGCTGAGCCTCTTGGGCTTGCTGATCAAAAGGTCAGCAGTTCGAATCCCCATGATGGGGTGAGCTCCTGTTGCTCTGTCCATGCTCCTGCCAACCTAGTAGTTCGAAAGCATGTCAGTGCAAATAGATAAATAGGTACCGCTCCGGCGGGAAGGTAAACGGCGTTTCTGTCCGCTGCTCTGGTTTCGCCAGAAGCAGATTAGACATGCTGGCCACATGACCCGGAAAAACTGTCTGTGGAGCAGATAAACGCTGGCTCCCTCGGCCAGTAAAGTGAGATGAGCGCCGCAACCCCAGAGTCGTTCTTGACTGGACTTAACTGTCAGGGGTCCCTTTACCTTTACCTTTAAGCATGTGTAGGACTGCAGCCTGAGGCACTTTGTGTATTATATGCAGCAAGGTTGTTGTGATAGTAGTTGCTCTCCTAGGTCTTTGATTCCAGTGAGTCCATCTAGTTGTAAATAGGAACCAGATCTGTTGCGTTCGGCAAAGACATGATGCTGGTTATTTATGCCCCTTAGATCAGGGATGGCTAACTTGTGGCCTGATGGATGCTGTTTGGCCTGCAACTTCCAGCAGCCCCTGCCAGCAATGGCCAGAGATGATGGGTGTTTGAGTGCTGTCCTCTCCAACATGGACAGGGTCACAGTTTAACCACCCCCGGCTTACTGCACTATTTCAAGGTGTCTCCCAATATCAAAACCAGCATAAGGAGTTATAGTGGGAAGAAACATGTTGCTGTAAAGGGCAGCAAATTTTATCCCACCTATGCTATGTCAGGGGTCCCTTTACCTTTACCTTTTATGCTGTGTGCAACACCCTGGTATGTATGTATGGAAAAAAACAGGAGGTTATGTTGCAATATTTTATTTTTATTTTGAAAATCTTGCGTGCTGCTTAATCATAAAATTCTAAGCAGTACACACAATAAAATTATTGATAAAACACAGCTAAAAACACAAAACTGTTAAAAAAAGTTTACATAAGATAAACATCAATAAAACACAAAAAATCTCTGTTTAAAACAAACATAGATGGCTAAATTGTTATACATCTGGATAGCCTTGCAATTATTATTTTGATTTTATATATTATGATCTTTGCTGTGAACCCCCCTGAGACCTCTGGGTATAGGGCGGTATATAAATTCAATAAATAAATTAAAGAAAGAAAGAAAGAAAGAAAGAAAGAAAGAAAGAAAGGAAGGAAGGAAGGAAGGAAGGTTTTAGCAGGCATCTAAAACAATATAGCAAGGTTGCCTGCCTAATGTCAATAGGCAGAGAGTTCCAAAGCACAATTGCTGCTGCACTAAAAGGCTAGTCTCCTTCATTAGTCTCCTTTACCACAGTGACCTCAAGAAAAATAGATGTATCCATTTCTTTCTCTTCATCAAATATAGCGCATGTAAGGGTCAACACTTTTTATATGTAGAAGTAGCTAGTCAGTGGTATGTTGCTGCAAACTATTTTGCCGTCAGCTTTTAGATATATATGAACAAACCACATGTCCATGATTCTTGAAATGTGTGTGCTAAACACAGGCTCAAACGGAAGCCCAAGATTAATTGCCGGACGTCTGTACAAAAGCCAACACTCAAAAGCTCAGTAACTGCTCAGGCTGGCTTCAAAATGAATGAGGTTTCATATGGATTCCTTTTGAAAAGTGACGAAGATTGGTATCTTAGCAGACCAACACTCTTTCAATATTGCTTTATACTTATAGTCCACTAGGGGATGCTCCCTCTCTCTTTCTAAAATGATCCAGTAGTTAGCAGGTGAAATCTTCCTTTATTTTAAACGAGTGTCTTCTTTTTGTCTTTTTTGGTCTGTTACAATTGAGCTTCCAGTACCATTCAGAAGGCTATAATATGTTCTGATGGTAATATCTGGTATAAAGGATGCAGAGTCTTTTGAACTATAACCATGTGGGCCAATGCAGGATTCTCCAGTGAACTCGATGGCAGCCCTGCTGGACCAGAGGCCTATCTAAACCAGCATCCTTTTTTTCTACTGAAGCCAATCAGGTGCTTCTAGGAAACCTACAAACAGAACATGAGGAGAGTCACCCTCTCCTGCTGTTGTTCACCATACTGTTAATCAGAGGCATGTTTACCTGATCCTGGAGGTAGCATATGGCCATCGTGACTAGTAGTCGTATCCTCCATGAAGGAGCTATGACTAAATGCAACAAACTTAACAAACAAACCAGAGAGTGTAGTTTTATTTATCTTATTCCATATCCAACTATTTCTCCAAGGAGTTCAGGGCAGCATATACACAGTTTGCCTTCTACAGTTTGCAAACTACAAGAAAGAAGATTCCACCTAAACATTAGGAAGAACTTCCTGACAGTAAGAGCTGTTCGACAGTGGAATTTGCTGCCAAGGAGTGTGGTGGAGTCTCCTTCTTTGGAGGTCTTTAAGCAGAGGCTTGACAACCATATGTCAGGAATGCTCTGATGGTGTTTCCTGCTTGGCAGGGGGTTGGACTCGATGGCCCTTGTGGTCTCTTCCAACTCTATGATTCTATGATTCTATGATTCTCTCTCATACAACAACAAGCCTGTGTGGTAAGAGAGGTGGGGTGTGTGTGTAGTAATCTGCCTAAGGCTACCTAAGAAGCTTCATGGTTGTAAGGACAGAAGATATGAACCTCAGCTTCCTCAGGCTAAGGCAGACATTCCATCCACTACGTGACACTGATTTTCAGTGTGCTTAGAATGGAGAATTTAATCATAGACCATTCAAGGCTCACGATTTTGATGTTATTTCTCATCTATGTATGGAAAGTGAGTAAAATAGAATGAATATGGGAGCTGCCTGAAATATCGTGTGGGTCTGTGAGGAATAGTTTCTCCGTAGTTAATAGCATCTGGCTAATTTAAGATGCAAGGGACAAATTTAGGTCGGAAGGATAATCTGAGGAAAGCCATCAGAAATAAACTCTCAGCCTATACTTGGAAGAAAGTACAGTACCAATTAGTTCAATAGGACCTGCTGCGAAACAAACAGATAATTTGTGCCTGTCCATCTGACTGGGTTGCACTAGCCACTTGTATATTGTGAGCTAACAGGAGTTAAACTTATTACAAGTTATTAAGTTTTGGCCTACAATGTTGGAACAACCCATCTAAGAATTATTTGGATCAGTCTTTCTCACCATGCTAGATTAAGAGTTCCTTGCTCCATATAGTACGGCTTATGACTCCACCATTAAGGAAGGGATGGCATGGTTGTTGACACTGAATTTGCTACTTCAGGATAATCTTCATGACATTACAAGCCTGGAAGGCCAGTTTTCATGCAGTCACATCTTTACTAACTTAGATGCACACTACTTATCCACAGCAAATCCCCGTCTTCCATGTTGCTCCCTTCCACAAAACATGCTGCTTTAAGAAACCAAGGCTATGCATTGGAATTGTGGAATGGAAATTATATTAAAACTTGGATTTGTGAATAATTGTTGAACTTCAGAACGGATTATTAGCATATGCAAAATATTTATTCAACTGATGTTAAGTATTATAGTTTGATTGAGGTCAACAAAACTATCTCCCTGCTTCATTTGGTTGGTGTTAAAATAAAAGTTACTCTTTGAGGAATAAAATTAACTTACTTTCTACAGAGCTTAAAGTGGGAGTTATATATTCATCCAATTCTAAAGCATTATGTTAAATATGCTGAGTGTAGTCACAGTATATTATCATCTTTTCCTGTTAATGTAATGTTATAAAGCTAAGTTTAACCTAATTCTGATTCTGTACTGCCACTACCTATTTGTACCCCAGTGCTGAAACATGAGACGTCCCAGTGTGGTCTGCTATTGACCCCCTCCCTGCACTCCTACATAACTGTATATTCCAGCTGCTCTGGAAAGCAAAGGTAATATATCTGCAACCATTCATATGCAGTCACTAAAATGTTTGACACCCTCAAACTTACTATTGGCAGGACTGGTCCAGCAAAGAGATAATTTTTTTTTTGTCCTCATAAACAAGAAGGCAAAACATTGCAATTCCTTTTGAACAATTATTTACTACTTTTTGTTTTTATTTTGATTATGTATTTGGTGTTTTTATACTGTGATTTTATCCTGTGAACCACCCTGAGATCTACAGGTATAGGGCGGTATACAAATTTTTAATAATAATAATAATAATAATAATAATAATAATAATACCAACTGTGTTAGAGACAAGGGAGCAATGCCAATAATTAAATCTTACAAAGGAGTTTTGATTATGATATTTTATCTTGGGCACAATCTAGACACCATTAAGCACTTATTAAAGTGAAATGGATTTCTATGCAGAGACATATTACATACGATGACAGAATCACTACTAGTGGTAATTTGTCAGGGGTGGAGGACAGAATGTGCCCCTCTCTCCCATTAAAGCAGTGTCCTAGTACTGGATCTTCACCCATGAGAATGACAGAACTCCACATATGGGAATTAAGGTCTCTAAACCTGCTCCCTGAACACCCCTCTGTGTTATGGAAAACAAGCATGGTTAAGCACTGTGACTGCAGAGGGTGTGCTGAATTCATTTATTAAAAAGCCTTATTCATGTATATGGCTTCTTCCCAACAGCAGCATAACATGTGGCTGATCATGAAAAATTACAAAAGATAGATATATTTTCTTTTTAAATTTTCAACATTTATTATCATTGCTATTGCAGGCATATCAAATATGTAGTAAAATATTTCGTATTAAACTACCACCTTAAAAATGTAAGTACAATGCACCAAGGTAAACAATTTTATTGTGCTTACATTAAGCTATGTGGCAATATAAAAAAAAAAGCATAAAAATGGATGTACACTAAAATAGAAGTCTCTGTAAGGTTAATAAACTTCTATCAAGGCAACCATTGAAATATTAAAATCTAATTTATCTTGTTATTTTAAAGGAATGCATTATAAAAGACCCTTACTACATAGTAGAAAAATACAAGGTTATCATTTATGCACTTATTCAAGCTAACCTAATGCCTGACTATACTGATTGTCTAGAGCTCAATATTGTGGGTAAGAGTTAGTATAACTTTTAGATGAAGGTAAGGAGTTCCTGAACTCATAGAAAGGACTGCAGTCCATGGTGGAATAACTGCCTTTTCAAACATAGTATCATGAACAAAATAATCAACAATGACCAAATCATGATGGTACAGTTACCCTGTTTGTGGGGACTGTTTTCACAAATCATGTCAACCTATAGACAACTATTCTGGGACAATTTAGAGATGTATGAATATCATAGCACTGCTCAGCAGTGGCATACTTCATATCCCAGCCAATCTAATGCCATTTGTGCTCCTGCCTTTGATCTCTTTCCCGCAAGCCCTTCCACCGAGGCTGAGAGAGGGAGCAACACTGGCCTTGGTATTTTGGCCTTATCCCATTCTTGGGCTGAAGGTACTCCTCTCGCAGAAGCTGTAGCTCATTTGCAGCTCTTGTACATTTCTGAAATGGTGCATGGAGACTGCAGTGTGCTTCTGAATCGGTCCCAATCTTTAGTTCTTTTTGCAGACGGTCTATAAGATAGTTCTCAAGGTCACCTCTGCTATCTTGGGCATTCCTAAGCCTACGAGCATTGGTAATTAGATCTCCCATCAACTTGATCTTCTGTATCTTGGGTGCTAGAAATTGCTTCTTAATTGTGCTTGCAGTGTGAGGGTCTGAGTTCTTGATACTCAGAGCATAAAGCTCTTCAAAATGGCCCGCCATCATCTTCCATTGTACTAGGGCTACTTCCAGAGCTGCCGCCACACCGCTTATTAACACACTGGGTGGTTTCTGGAATCACAAAGAGCAGAACAAAGATGGCAAATAGTAGAAGTTACAATTGTTTCCACCACATTTTCAACTGCTTGTGCTGTAATGCTCTTACCTCTGTCTTCTGAGCAACATCTTTGAGATTTGTGGGATACAGATATAGAAAATTAATATATGCACACAAGGCAGCTCACCAAGCTTATTACAGCTTTTATATGATGATATGTTAACCAAGTGTTTGTATAATTGGTGTGGATAATATTGATCTCTAAAATATGTTCATTGCCAATAAAGTAATGAAAGACTAGAATGGGTTGTAGCAACATAAAATTGCACGAGTGTAACATTGATCCATGCAGATCTCCAATGAAAAGAAGAGAACCCGTGTACTCTACCCTCAGATCCCTGGAGGAAGGATGGGATCTAAAAGCATGGAATGGTGATGTTCATGCGGGTGCTGCTTGCTTGCATAGGGAAGGATGTCCACAAGAGATAAGATTAAACAAATATCAAATGGAATTTGCTAGATTTTCAAAGGATATGGATTGTGCTGGGTCTCCCAGATTAGTTGCCTTGGAGCAGAAAAGCAAAATAGTTTTCATACATATTTGCTTCAAATTGCAAGAGATGGCAGGGTGAAAGCACTTCTATACCTGTTAACATATGGCCATATGTCATTCATCCTGGAAGTGGGGAAGGAACTCAAATCATGGTTACAGTGGTGTTAAAAAACCCCTCTTTAATAAGTGCAATAAAACTGATGTCTAAAAAGAAAATTTGAATTTGTATGGGGGGGAAAAGCTAAGCTCCAAATCTGACCCTATCATTTCACTGTGAGCGGCATGAAACCCGCTAGGTGTCATGCAGAAACATGACAGGGAAAAAAACATGTCTTCTCGCTTTATGCTTCTAGGCTAACATGAAAATAGGTGTAGCTAAATGCAGATGTAGCTCATATCATAAGGGATATGTGTGCAAGTTCTTTTTTGATCTGTTACATGAGACATATACCTTATGAAGTTAAACCTCAGACATGAGGACAAACTTTGCCACATACCTGGATAACTCTGGTACAGTAGAGGCCTCCCCTGTCATGCTGGTATTGTATGAGAGCTTCTGCTGCTTCCCTCTCCTCTTTAGCCCGGTCCAAGAAGAATTTAGAAACATTTGGTAAAGCCATATCAGAATGATCAAAGATTTCACCCTATATTTTTCAAATAGACAACAAAGCAAAACACTCACTGCAGTTCATATACAAAGTACAATAATATTGCATAATGTTTACAGTACTTAGGTTTAAACTTCAAAAGGAGTAGAAGAAAAAAACATTTCTGGAAAACCTATATATTTTAGAAGTAAAACACAAACTTTTGCTTTTGCCATAGATAGAAACAATATTTCAAATTAGGTACCCTGGGGTATGTGTATGTTAAGTTAAAAAAATATTTGTACACCAGACAAAAGACCATATAACCTGTTTTAGTTGTAGTCATGGGCAATTAGTTTTCCAGAAAGTTTACTAATATTCCAAATTAGGGGTGGGAGACTATAGCGCCCATGTCATTGGGCAACAATTCCCAATATCCCTGACCACTGCCCATTCTGGCTGGGGATAAAGGGAGTTGGAGCCCAATGACACAGGGTGAGCCATGTACTCCTCACTCATGCCTTAATGTGACTGGGATCTGATTTAGCACAATTATATTCAAAAAAGGTAAACACTGTTAATTTTACAGAATGCAGAAATATCTGATATGTTTTTCAAAAAACTGAAAGTAGTTGAATTGGCGGGGGGGGATTGATACAGATGCATATTTTCATTCAAAGATGCATCTAGTCAGTGTATGAGGACTCAAGTACACATGATGATGTGAATAAGGATGCTTATCCAAATGCAACATGCACACAAGACTGCTTATGCATGCAGATCTCTGGCTGAATCAGGATGCTGTATATTTCTACAGTAGATATTTGTAAGGATAAGGAATGTTAGAGGCTGTACCATTTGTCACTTCTTTTGTTGCAGAAAGTTAGAAGCTGTTGCCTCTGGAGTAGTAGTTGGAGAGTGGAAAGTATGCAGGGGGATATACAGGCAACATGATTGCCATTCTTCTCCCATAGTTACATCCTGTGTCATGTTACCGCTTTCTTACACACCCCATCCTCCAGATCTGGCCCCTGGTGTTATTGCTGTTCTTCCCACATGAGCTTGATTTTTCCACATGGTTTCTGAATTCTTACATTATTGAAAAGTGTGTGGAATGGAATCATGGGAAAATCGAAACAATGTCACTTCCATAATGTAAGAATCAGGTCTTGGATCACTGCTACTCTTCATGTTCAGTTTACTTCAGTTTACTTCAGGTTATTGCCTCTTCAGTTTACTGCCTACCAAGTTTACCCTCCTTCAAACTTCAAAGGAACATAGGAAAAGCCCCGGCAAATAAACCAATGTCCCATCCAGTCAACGATCCTGTTCTCACAGTGGCCAATCAGATAGATATATGAGATAAGAAAACACTCCCTAAGGTTTTCACCACATTAAAACATGAAGAAAATCATTAACAATATGAAAGAAACAGATCCAGACTCATACTAAGTTCCAGCAATTGCCCAAGTACATTCTGTGCCTGCAGAGAAGATGGGACTTTATGGCCCATTTCCTCATTGTTTTTGCTGGAAAAATATGTTCTCATATTCTGAGAATATTGTCATCTTGAATTGTGATCCTTATATCTAATCAGGGCAGTGTTGTCAGCAGCTTCCCCTTTTCTCTTTTTAGAAGGAATGCAGTGACAGCTGAAGGATGTTGTCACAGCTTCCCACCGCTAAGTTCTGAGTCAGTTTTTCTTCCCTTGCTTCATCACTTTCCCCATCCCTGCTCTTCATTCCTTGATTCTCTTACTCTACCGTATAATCAGTGTAGCTTCATTACCGTCAGTTGCCTACCAGACTCATTTAACACTCATATTTTTCGCAAGTAAAAAGGGCCTGACTTCTGCCCCCATACTTACAGGCACTGAGTCTCTTAAAGACTGATTCACTACTGTTCACATATCCAAAAGTGAGTCAGTCAGCATGTAAATTTCCTTCCTTGGTTCCGGACCTCCTAAGATGCAGGACTTGTCCAAAATTAAGACTTCATATAAAAAGAAATCACAACAGATAGCAACAGACAGAAGTGAGTTATACAAAGGGGAAAGATTGCACAGCTGAACAGGAGCTTTGCATCAGTTTATGAGTGTCCGCTTGCAGTAAATGCTGAACCATTATTTTCCATGCATATTATTATTTATATGCCATGAACAACCTTAAAAGAAATATTAGATATTGTAAATACAGTGAATATAGCAATATAGTAATTTCATACAGCAGCAAAATGTACCATAATATATAAGATGTGTGGTACTGTCTGACTTGCTCATTCATGGCAGTATCAAAATTGCTAGGGTATATCCACATGACCTAGCTAAGTATTTGCTCACAAAAAAGTACTTCTGGCATCAAAATGGGGCATACGTGCACATCTCTCCCTCAAAACAGTGGACTTGGCATACCCCCCAAAATACTTACAATACTGCCTTATGAAATAGAAACCTGAAATTTGGGGGAGATACATTAATAATTTAGTTTGGTGTTACAATGAACACATCCATTCAGTTGTGTACAATCCATGTGTATACAGCCAGTTGTCACCCAGTGGACAAAATGATGTCATTTCTTTCCCACAGCCTTCCAACACATGAGCATTTTAACATGACCCTACAAGTGGTTGGCTCTGCATGTGAAGGAGCATTTGTGAAGGAGAGGGCATTTGAAAAGCAGTGGGAGCCTGGCTCCATAGCACAATGGGGGCATGGCAGAGTGACAAGAAGGAAGAGAATGGGCCTCCATCCTAAGGTTGAGGACAGGGCCATATGTAGCAAAGGAGTATACCAGATAGAATAGAATCATACAATCATAGAATTGTAGAGTTGGAAGGCACCCTGAGGATCATCTAGTCCAACCCCCTGCAATGCAGGAATATGCTGCTGTCCTATATGGGAATCGAACCTGGGACCTTGGTACGATCAGCCCCATACTCTAACCAACTGAGCTATTATTCATGAACTAATGTTGTCAGCCGAATGTATGAATGCAGGCACACACGTGTGGAAAGAGTGGGGATTTAGTCACTTTATGTGCAGCAAAAGACCTCAGCAGATGTTGGTTTAATACAGAAGAAAAGCCATGCCTCAGCTGTATCCAGCAAAGGAAGAAGTATTTTAGCCACAGCTCCTTGGGATGCAAACCAGAATCTGTTTTCACAACAGCAGTTCCAGAAGATGTACATAATAATGTTTTAAAGTGTGCCTTTGCCATGAACTAGCCATCACACACCACGAGGTTACTAGAAGAGTTCCCAGGTGTGCACCTCTTCTACCCCTCTTTTTAACATGGGTACCTTATACCAGCATATCCATTGCTTGATGGCTGCGGCTTGGGAAGAAGAACTCAAGCAACGGCTATCTCAGTGAAATAGGTGCCAGTAGTCACCATGATAGTGATGTATGGAAGTGAGAGCTGGACCATAAAGAAGGCTGATCACCGAAGAATGGATGCTTTTGAATTCTGGTGCTGGAGGAGACCCTTGAGAGTCCCATGGACCTATCAAACCTCTCCATTCTTAAGGAAATCAGCCCTGAGTGCTCACTGGAAGGGCAGATCCTGAAGCTGAGGCTCCAATACTTTGGCCACCTCATGAGAAGAGAAGACTCCCTGGAAAAGACCCTGATGTTGGGAAAGATTGAGGGCACAAGGAGAAGGGGACGACAGAGGACGAGATGGTTGGACAGTGTTCTGGAAGCTACGAACATGAGTTTGACCAAACTGCGGGAGTCAGTGGAAGACAGGAGTGCCTGGCGTGCTCTGGTCCATGGGGTCACGAAGAGTCGGACACAACTAAAGGACTAAACAACAACAGTCACCATGAAGTTGTTGCAGTAAGTGTTACACTTTTTAACAACACAAAAAAGAAGTGCCAGTACTGTGCTCCCTGGGGGGGGGGGGGAGCACTGGCTATTGTGGACGTGCAAGTCCGGCCTAAATGCAGAGCAGAAACGAGGAAAGAAAGAACCCCAACTGAAGAGGCCCGAGGTGAGGCGGTGAGGCAGGATGGAGAAAGGCCAACCCAGAGCGAGCCCTCGTTGTGGCCCCGAAAAGAGGCATCTCGAGCGCCGAAGGAGCCGCAGCGCCTCGCCCCAGGCCTGCCTTGGCAGGCCAAGCGGGTCGCTGCGCGGTGGCCTTACCAGCATCTGCAGGACATAGGCGACCTCGAGCAGGGCACCGGTGACTCCGCACAGGCCTTCCTCCACCACGGCGGGGAAGTTTTGCTTCACGAGTTTGCCCAGAGCTCTGCCATGCCGGTGGATGGCGCACAAGGGCAGGCCGCTCTTGAGCCTTTTCGGACTCGGCTCGGCCATGGCCCGCTCCTACCGCTGGGCTTCCTCCTCACCGCCGGCCTCGCCTTTCGTCCAGCCGCCGGCCCAAGGCACGACGGGGAGGCCGTCGCGTCACTGAGGAGCTGCCTGAAGTTGGAACATCAAAGAAGAGACGAGGGTGGGGTTTATAAAAAAAGAGAAGTAACCAGGAAGCGGCAGCTCGTGAAGCGAAGAAGGTGAAGAGGCGCGCGCGCGCTCCCCGTCTCCTCGCGGCTATATATACAGCACCCGGGTCAAGGGGCAGAGGCAGGGCGGGACGCTGGCACCTGGCGCGCACCTGGCCGCGGGCGGGCCCGCTCCCACACGCCCTTTCCCGCCAGGACAGGGCTGCCGTGACAGAACTCCTCTCAGGCTTGAAGGGGCACGTTGGCCTGCATTCGCTGCGAGACTTCACACGCCCTTCCTAAGTTATACCTTTGCGTTTTGCACGCTCTTGAGCGTTTTCTTAGACTGAAGTCCCGCGCGCGTTTAACCTGGAAACTAGCCTCGCCGAAAGGCTTCCCTGTACACTGCAGAGGATTGCGCAGTCCCGTGCTGGAAAGCAGGGCTCGTGAAGGTCGCTGTCCGAACATATCGCAGAATAGAAAGTGCTGGGGGAAATGTGCACCCTAAAGTGAATCCACATTCCAGGAAACAGAGATCCAATAGCCCTAGCCGATGTCATTTCTGTATTTGGATTACAGAAGTGAGAAATGGGAAAGAGGAGCAACAAACTCCGGATTCAAGCAGTGAATTTTACTACATTCAGATGAGCATATTTTACTAAAAATCAGTCCCATTCTTTCTTGCTATTGAGATGTCAGGCATTATGCTTTATGGGTTCACTTTGTAAACAGATAAACAGATGCCTGCATGGTCAACAATAGGGATTTTCTTGCCTTGTGTGAAGTGGACTAAATCTTGAGTTTTAAAATATATGGCAGCAAGACCTTTTTCACTAGTTCAGTCCTGCTTTCTTCCTCCTCAGTCACCTGTGAGGTTAAAAGAACCCACCAATGCCTCTCCGGGCACAATCTGTGCAGAAGTCTCGCCTCAGGTTGCTTCCAGCCAGTGACTTAAAGTAGATGCTCTGCTACTGAGCTGCAGTCCATCTTTGACCTTGGAGCACAAACAGTTTCAGGCAGGGCTTGAGAGAGTGATCAATCACAAGGATACCTCCGAGCCATATAGAAACTATGTCAGTCACAGTGCTGACTGCTGCTATTTAAACATTCAGTCAGCATATGCAATCCAAGTCAGTGGCTGCTCGGCTAAACCTTCCTTATCTCTTTAGCTCCCTTCTGCTTTAGTGCTACAATTACTGATTGAAGAGAGCACCAAGTACACAAGAGCTATCCACTCTTTTCCGTGTTTCCTTGGTGAGTCACTTGCAGATCTCTTGTCCTGTTCCAAACTATGGGAGTGCAGAAGGTGTTTTGTTTTGTTTTGTTTTGTTCGTTGCTGTTGTTTGTCATTTACAATTTTCCATCTACCTTTCCCCCCTCTTATCATATACTGCAAGATTGGCCCATAGAGGACAGCGAAGGTGGATAAACCAGTTTCTTTTATTAAGTACATAGCCCTGGCAAGATCTGTTAAGTATATCTTGGTGATGCAAATTTGTATATGTATATAATCATTAAAAACAACAATTAAAATCAATAAAACTTTTAAAATACCCTTAGCACCTAAACATGTATAGTCGACTTATATAATTTGGTTGCCTCCCTTTTCTTCTTGGCTCTTTGCCCCCATGCTGAGATAGAGGGTAAGCTAAAGCTTTTGGCTGCATGCTGAATATTTGCTGAGATTTGGGCAGCTTTTTAAAAGAGCAACACATGGGAGGTGCATTATGAAAAAGCTGAGCACCCATGTTTTGTGGTAACCTATTTACTTTATCATGTGTAATAATCTGCAGTTTTTCAAACAACCATTAAGAGAAAAAAAATATTAAAGAAAAAGAACCCACAGGAATGTTCAGAATCCAGCGAACCAGAAGTGTGATTAGGTAGCTTTCAAATGTGATAAGTTTCTGTTCACTGAGTTTCTACCAGCTTATGCTTATTGAATTTCTTTTTGTTAAAAAAGTACCACTCCCTATCAATTCATAATTACATTTGCATAAATCCCATCACATGCTCTAATTATTAGAGTAAATACCTTAAATTATCACATGAAATTTGAGAACATTCAAATGCACATGGATGGGCAATGGGATGTGTGTGTTTCTGCATCAATGCCTTACATTTTAAACTAAAGTTATTCATCTTTTGAAGAGTTTCATGCTAACATGCTTGCACAGGGTAGGCAGATGAGGGACCCTGTCTAAGACAATAGTCAAAAATTCACAGGTTAACTGGAGTGGGGTTGTTGTTTCTTTTTTTGTATGTATTAAAATAAAAGACCCCTGATAAACACATTTGGAGGGAGTACCATGGTTTCCCACAGAACTTTTAAGGTTGCACACGTACGGTCACAACCTGGCCAAGCTGTAATCCTCAAAGGGTTGTGCTGGCACAAAACACTTGAACTCCACCAAGCTTCTGCTTGCAGAGCACAGTACACATTGGGATGCTTGAGGCTGAATATTTTAAATATCACTCTTAGGAAATGTTTGCACTGGCTCAGATCCCCAAGCTGCCTGCACCCTGGCCTCATGCCTGTGCACAGCCAACCTATGCAGGATCCAAGTGATACACACGAGCGATCCCTGTTGCTTTGATTCTGTCAGAGTCAGGATGAAGCCTGAAGCCCTGAAGACACCAGGTCATTCCCATGTCACACCATTCCTGTGATAATCACATTTAGGTATGGAAAAGCTCTCCATTAGAATAACATCAGGAATTTTGCTCTGCCAAATTGCGTGGGCAAAGAAAGCCATGATCGTGGTGTTAATAATATCCACGGAGAGGAGAAATAGTTTCCATCTTTTACTCAAATACCCATGTGAACTTGTTGCCTGTTTTCAAGAAGTTCTTTATCCTGCAAGACGGTTGCTCTGTTCATTTTCTGGATTAGTTACCGCATCTCCACTTGGCAGAAAAGATGTGCAGCTGCTCTCCAAAGCTCAGTTTTATGGTGCAGAGATTTCTTTTTCTTTTTAGTCAAATGCGGTGTGAAAGTCTTATGAATCACCAGATTTGTAACCACTTTAGGATGTTAGGATGTCTTTTCTGTAGTTAAAAAAAAAAAGTGAATGGGTTGATACTGGGCTAGTTGGGTGTACTACATGTGCTACAACAAGTGACTAAAAGTGACCCAGAACATGGCAATTAAAATTACTGCTGAAAACATTTCCCTCCCTTACTGCTTGCACACAGCCTTTGATTCTCCTTTTCATTATGTCACAGTTTAATAATGAATATGTCAATTATGCCAGCTCCCTAAAAATATCTGTTCCAGTATTCTCTGTTGAAGGGCAGTAGAGAGATCTGCCTGGGCAAATCTCTGCTTCCAGAGTCAATAGGCAGGCTTATGAACAAATTTCCAGAGGGACATAACCTGTTTTCAAGGGAAGCGCAGGCATGAAACCTCTGTTTTGGCTGGAGAGTTGGGACTCTACTACCTAATGAAGAAAGACAGCCTGGTTGAGAATTTCCTCCACCCATTTCATTCTGTATTCAGACTGCACCCCAAAAAACTCATCAGCTTCCACCACAGGAATGTGCAAGATGGACTACACAGAAGCACCATAGCAGCATTTTCACTCCTTTCAGGAGCAACTCTCTGCTGCCCCATGGCTAGAACCTGGCATCTGCATTCATCACCATTAGAGGATTAGGATGCAGGCGAGGTCTGAGCCACAAGGCCAGATGCTTACAAGGACATCAGCAGCAGCAGTAGGGACAATGAGTTCTGTCTGCCTCTCCCATTCATTTTAAAGGCACTGTTCTGTTTCTCACATTCATTTTTCAGCCAAAGTCATCCAACTAGCCCCATCCATTGGTTGTGGCCCTCCAGATATTGCTGAACTACAACACCCATCATTGCTTAGCCATGCGCTCTGGGACTGATGGGAGTTATAGTTCAATAACAGCTGAAGGGCCAAAGGTTCCCACCCCAGCTTAAAACCTCAGTGTGCGCTACATTTTCAGTCCAATCCTCTCCCAATATAACTTTGGAAATCCCACAGGGGGCTTAGGGAAATTTCCAGATTCCCCTTGTAGGCCAGGAGGCGTCATGCAGCAGGTCCCTATTTCACAGCTATGTTGCCTGTGCTTTCTTGCTATGAGAGAAGAAGTCATTTGCTGCCTCTTGCTCCTCATGCAGTTCCTGCTTCCTCCATAGCTGGGACTTGTTCTCTGTTGCTCTGGAGGGTGAAACTAGAACTAATGGGAAGAAATTGTAGGGAAAGCAGATTTTGAGTAAACATTAAGCTCTTAATGGCAAGAGCTATCTGACAATAGAACGAATTGCCTCAGGAGGTGGATGGGCTCTGCTTTGCTGGTGGTATTTAAGCAGAGGCTAAATGGTCCTCTCTGTGTCAGGGATGCAGTAGTTGCATCTTGTATTGCAGATCCCCCAGAATCACCCCCAGATCTATGATTCTTATTAGCTTAATATTCATTCAGTTTCTCTACACATCACTTGCAGCATAGAGCAAGGGTGGCTAGGATGCCACACCTATGCCATAGGCGCAGATTACTGCAAATTCTTCCTCTCCACAGGATGTTTAAGACAGTCAGAAACGCAGCATCTGACCCCAATAAGATTTGATTACAATAAGATTATTATCAGATCTGTCCCTTTGTGGTGTTTGGAGAGTCCTTTAGATCCAAAACCAGGGAGATTTAGAACTGAATTTCCTGCCTTAAGACATGCTACTTTTTATCTCTTCCAATTGACTGTTTTCTGCCTTTAAGAGGGAAAAAACACCATCCTGTCTGCCCTGTGTGTTTCTTTTCTAAAAGGTGACAGGCCTGTTTTACCCATCTGTTCTTTGCTTTGTTGGAGAATGTGGGCTGCCCCTTCTGTCTCCTTGCTCCTCCTGTGCCAGTATCTCCATTGGGACATTTTCAGGAAGTGGTTGGTTCATGTTTGAGGGCTTGTAAAATATATATTCGATGCTGATGTTTGTTGTAGCATTTGCAATATTATCCCATTCATTCCAACATAACTTGTACAAGACGTGTTCTCAGTAGATTCTATCCAGAGTTCTCATCCAAGGGCCTTACTGCATAATCTGAAACCAGTAGTTTATATATAGAGAAACCTGTGAAACTTAAAACCATTTGATGTCCTTTCCTTCAAGCTTAGTCTGACACATTGCACAGTACACTGGCACATCCACACTGAGTGTAAACAAATGTACCTCCACGACAGATCCATAACAGCTTGCAGAATATACAAGCTGAATTTATTTTACAGTCTCTCTCTATCTCTCTGTGTGTGCATATAATTTATGCCAATGACATTTTACAAAAACAGGTTTGAGCCAGATTTACTGCGTCAGTGCTCTATAGTTTGGGGTTCAATCTTCAGTGTAAGGTATTTTTGTCAGGCTTCCCAGCCCCTCCACAAAAAAGGAAATGGGTTGGTTTTTTTGGTGTGTGTGTGTATGTGTTATAAATAAAAAAATTTGTGGAGCTAAAGGCTATGTTCTGGTTTGCGTAGCTAAACATTATGCTTCTCCCATTATATTTTTCTATTAAAGATTTGCTGCCACGTGATCTTACCTGACAACCCTGTCTACAGTATTCACAAAACACATGTAACACAAGCCTAGCAAAGCTGTTTTGCAAGTATAGGGGAAAGCAGGTTTGGCGGGAGGATTTGAAGTGGAGAAGTGGGAGGAGAGGGCTGCTTAACTATTTCCATTCACACTGCTTCTCTGTTCCAAATTGCCTCCCCAAGCCACCACCAATGGTGGTACATTTCCATTCAACGCATTGTTTACCTTCTTTATATTCTTGCTTGGAGGTCCCCATGTGCTGGAAGGCACCCAAAGAAGCCGAAATGGAACCACCACCAGTACCTGGTGGTCCAGTATAGTAAAGAGAGTGACAAATTTTACCAAGTAGCAACTCAAAGGGACCTGACAGCCAATTGTTTGCTAAGTGTTTCTCTAGACTTCACTTGAGACAAATATTCTCCATCAGCATTGTCTACGTTTCAAATGTTCTCTTGATGTGCCTTTAAGATAAGTAGAAATTAGAAGCTGAAACTTTCCATAGCATGGAGATAAACATTCTCACCTGCCTAATAGTTGCAGGTTAAAATACAGTTAAGAACCAGTTGAGACATTGGCAGCCCTCCTCTCTGTGATCTATCCCCACCCTCTCTACTCCAGGAGCTTCAGTTGGGTCATCTACTAATCAGTTACCACAGAATTCTTTGTGGATGCTGTTCTTACATTTGCCAAGGTCACATTTTTCTTCTTCTAAGGGAACACTTGTTGTGCCAATATTTCATTCAGAGGTTCTTTGCCACACTTATCTACTCAATGCATCATTGTGAAGGGCTGCATGGCATGGTCAGAGTATGACTTCATAGGGGAAAGGAGCCAATAATTAGAGCACACTGTGATAATGCTAACTAGAGGAGAATGGAGTCTTATTCTAGTTGTATAGTGTTTTACAAAATAATGATAATTTTAAAAAATCATTTCACAGTTAAGCTGGAGAGAAATAATATAGCAAAATGAAGAGCAATGAGCCAAGGCAGCAACTGGAGGGGAACGGGTCATATCCTCACTTATGGAAGTCACTATAATTCCCTTGAAGTAATTGGAGATCTGCTGATTAAGCCAGCTGGGGATTTGTTCTTCTTATAAAACTTGGGTTCCTCCCCAAATAGTTTTCCTTCTTCAAGGGGGCACCTGTCAGTGGTGGAGGTGGTGATGGTGCTGGATTAGTGCACATGCAGCCTGTCTGCTTGGCCCCAGCCCTTTGGACCCAAAATGAACTCCAGCTGCTGCTCTCCACAGCAGGTGCTTCATCCATCCTCTGGCAGCTGTTTTAATGTGTATTGTTATCACCAATACGAAGGGCTAGGTCCTTGTTGTAATATGTCTGTCCTCCTAACATCATGACTCTGTCTTATTCCTCACTGAGATGGTAAGTATGTTTGTTTATGGTTCCACTTCGGATGCCAGAGACCCATCTTTATGAGAGATGGGTACACATACAACCAAAGACCAGGACCAATCCAAGGCACATTGTTGCCTGAGGTGAAGCAGCAAAATGGAGACTCACTGCAGTCAAGGTGCATAGTACCCAAGAACAGTCAGGTTAGTATTGCAAGTTATTCTGGCATATCAGCCCGCAAATCTTACAACCACTTCTCCCTGTTCTTAGCTGGAATGAAAGAAAGAAAGACAGACAGACAGACAGAAAGCTTGCTGCCCTTTCATGAAACAAAAATCAGTTGCCTGAGGCAACAGTGTCATTCTGCCTAATGGCTTGCCTTCCTGCCCCTGGGTTTTTGAAGGAAAGGAATACCTCCCTTCACCCCCTGTTGTGAGAGAATCATCCATGATGTGAGACCTCACCTGCAAAATGAGGTGGTACAATTGAAAACCAGGTTGAATGCCTTCGTGAGAAGAACCAAAGCATAGATGAGAAGGCCTTTTGAGGGAAGAAATGCATGACTGCCTTCTGAGTTAGATCAGAAGAGAGCTGCAGTGACTTTCTTTATATGGCTGATAAGGAAACAGAGTTAAAGCAAACCAGCAAGCAACCACTTATTCTAGGCAAAAGCAGACTTGTCAGATATGCCAACAGTGACAGCCATATTGCATTTTGACCACCCAGATAAAAGCAGCATTAGACAACAGCTAAGTACATCTGTAGACTTGATATATTTCTTTATATGGTGCAGCCAGTTTCCTTTACTTCTACAGTTTTCAGAATGTCTCCATTTTGTTTCTAATTTGGTGTATGACCTACACTTTGGGTTACTAAAGTTTCTTTATTCACCAGATCCTGTTCCAGTGGCTTTTACAACTTGATCTGCAGCCATTGCCAACAGGTGTCAAACTTCATAATTTCTATGCCATGAAAAACTTCCCTTGCTTACTTTTGAAGATTATGCACTAGTCAGGGCTGGAATCCCCCCCCTCCCCAGTTGACTAGTAACTTTAATTACAAATTGGAAATAGAGAACACTGAAAATGGCAATGGATCTTGTACCTTTACAAACTCAGCCTCATAAAACCAAATATTACGGTATTTTGGAAAAGACTGGAACAGCATAAGAAATGGCTGACAGATTGATCAGGTCCAGAACCCCAGTTATATGGATACTATATTGGGATAAATTGTGTAAGAGCAGGAATGTTCACAATTATTCCATCTCTACATGCAATTCTTGAATTCTAAAGGAGGAAAGGGCAGGAGTTTTAGTTATTCTGAGGATTAAAATCTTTATTTGGAAAACCATCACCCAAGGATTACATGGCAGATAAATAAGAGTATTTTCTGTAGAGATCTGTCAGGAGCTGTTTCTGCACTGCTATGCACTGCAAGGGCAATGCTGAAAGCTTTGGTAGGCTTACCTTTGATGAAAGCCAGGATACAGCATTGGTATTACTTTGACAAAAATAACAGAATTTCCCTGAAAACCTCTGCATAAAAGAAAAATAGCTTTAAGAACAAATGGCTATGTGTGGTTGGGTCATGCATTAGGAGGGGCTGACATTCAAATGGAATGCATATGTAACAATGTGTATCACAAAGAAAAGTGCAAGTATAAACAAGAAGAAGAAGATCTGCAGAAGGGACATGGAAGAGACTTAAGGGCCTCGGACATAAGACTTCCAGGTTGATGGACTAGATGGAATGGACAGTAAGGACTGACACGACCCGAGACCAGGAAGAAGAGACGTTGGATGAAGATTGGAAGAAAATTTATAAAGAAAATTTTTATTTAGGGAATTAGCCTAAAATTAATGAATATTAGGGAAAATGTTGGAATGAAACTATATGACTCTAGTAGAAATGATATCAGGAATTATGTATAACTGAGTATTAAGTTTTAAGCTTTAAGGTATTTTATGGTAAGATAAGGTTAAATAAATTAAGGTAATTTGAATAACAGAATATGGGGAAAGATGGAAAGGATCTGTCGAGTTAATTAATACGTTAAATTGTTAAGATAAATTATCTAATAAAAATTGAGAAAGATGGAAAGAATTTGCTGAAATAACTAACTAAACTAGAATACAAAAAGGGAGGTGTGAGGAGGTCAATGAAACAAGCAAATGGAAGTTAAAGATATGTAATATGGGATTCGTGTCTTTTTTCCCTTTTCTTTTTATTTTATTTTTTGCTGTATTGTTGTATTGGTTTTTATGTTTTGCGTTTTTTCTTCTTTTTATGTATTGCAGTGTTGTTTTTTATTTTTTATTTTTTTGTAATTCTGAAATTATTAATAAATATTATTTTTTAAAAAACAACAACAATGTGTATCAGCACTGTATATATCCCAAATATTCAGTGCACTCTCTTGTCTATTACATATTACACAAAGAGTTGAGGGAGAGATTTTATTTGTAAATTGTAAAAGTTTGCTATCATCCCCCTGTTTGCCAATTTCTTGCAGATATAGATTATTTTTTACATACAGAAGAGCATTATTTGTCAAAAGTGCTGATAATTTTGGAGACACAATGTTTCAAAACCATTGTTCTTTCTGCTAGAGACCAATGGATGCAAAGCTATTCTAAGCATAAGACATTTCATTTCCTTCAGATCTCACTGTTTATAGTTCTCTATCCCCAACCATGTAAAGAAATACACACACACACACACACACACACACACACACACACTTGCATTGACAACTCAGGACAGCACTTCTTGCATCTGATGAAGTAGACACTATGGGCCATGAGAGCTTATGACAGAATATATTTGCTAGTCTTTAATGTGCCACAAGACTCTTTGTTGTTTAAGAACGTAAGAAAGGCACAGCTAGATCAGACCAAAGGCCTGTTAAGTCTAGCATCCTGTTCCCCACACAGGCCAGCCAGGTGCCTATGGGAATTCTGCAAGAAGAACATGCATGTAATAGCCCTTTCACATTGTTATTCTTATGACTGGCTTCAAGAGGCATGCCTCTTGACAGCTAGTGTGGTGCACTGGTTAAGAGCGGTAGACTCGTAATCTGGTGAACCGGGTTCACGTCTCCGCTCCTCCACATGCAGCTGCTGGGTGACCTTGGGTCAGTCACACTTCTCTGAAGTCTCTCAGCCCCACTCACCTCACAGAGTGTTTGTTGTGGGGGAGGAAAGGAAAGGAGAATGTTGGCCGCTTTGAGACTCCTACGGGTAGTGATAAAGCGGGATATCAAATCCAAACTCCTCTTCTTCTCTTGAGCGATCATGACTAAATAGCTACTGATAGCTTTATCCTCCATGATTTTGTCTAATATTTTAATTAGCAAGATGGTTGCTACTTAGAGAAACTAAGTAAATTCACTTTACAATTGACTGTAAATAGTCATAGTTATCTCACAATGTATATACTGACACACTGTAAAGGTGATCAGGAAAACAGACTGTTCTAATGGAAATACCTCTTTGATCACTCTGCTTCCCAGAATTTGATCAAATCAAAGGTTTTGGAAATGTCCAAATCACAATGTGAACTTCACTATCAATTCCAGAACTGTACACACACCAATTCTGTCACATGTTATGACTTATTGGTCCGAAGTCAGGAAATGAGGACTTGGAAGCAAATGGAAATCTTTTGGCAATGTCTATCAAATTTGATTTTCTTTGCCCTCATTAATATGATGCAAGAATTCTGAGTGCAGTGCCATAATATCTGAAGAGCCCTTTTTACAGTTAGCAGTTTACAATTAACTCAGCGTCTGCAGGAAAAACACTCATTAAGTGCTGAGTGAAGTAGCGTCAGCAATGGAACTCAACTAAGTGGTAACATACAATTATACCGAGTGACAGTCTTCACACCTGCTGCCGAGGATAACAGTAGCTGGCTGACTTAACCCGTGGCACTACAGGCTAAGCATTGTACTGTGACATAGCCTGGACACCGATTGAATTACACACTGATTAGCTCTTCAGCTTCTCCCTGACAGTGTGGACAATGAAGAATAAGAGAAGTGGACACAGAAGCTTTACCAGGCCTTGTGCTCTTTAACTAAGGAGGATTAGCTTATAAATGGTGGATTGTGTGAAGGCCAGTGGTTAGAAAACTTCCATGCATTCTTATGCTGTTTCAAAGTGTGAGGGTTGCAGAGAAGAAAATAACAGATGGAGACCTTGTTTCTGGTAGAAGAGTGTAGAATGAAACTGCGGCTGCCCAGTCTGCTACTTGATTGCAAGCTGCTGTCCTGGAGACGTTCCCTGTTCTTCCTGTATCTGAGAGGCAGCAAAACCATCTGCAACCAGGGAGCCTCACACCTTATCGAGCCAAAGATTCCTTTGCCCACCTTTGCCTCTTTCCTGTCTGAAACCTGCATGCTTCACTAGCCAGGACAAAAATGTGTATGAACAGGGTATAAGTACACCTGACTTCTATATACTAGGATTGTGCACTGACCACAAGATTCAGTTTGGATCTCAGTTTGCAGAATGACCCACCTCAGTATGAAGTGCTTCAGAGGCTGCTCAGTTTGGCTAGGGTCTGAATCCATTTTGGGGAAAAATAAGACTTTGTTTCCCTCTCATTCACTATTGGGAAATTAAACAACGAGTCTCTCTCTCTCTCTCTCTCTCTCTCTCTCTCTCTCTCTCTCTGTGTGTGTATGTAAGCTAAACATGGCAATTACAGCATGTCATAATACAAGGTTTTTTTTTTCTTTTGGACAAAATCCTGTCACTTACTCCGTTCAAAAGTTTAGCAACCCTTCAATGCAATCTAGCTCCCACAGGAAACCACATCAAGCATCTGAATCACACAAGACAATGTAGTTTGGTTTTAGTTTAATATACAGGAAGAGAGTGGCCAACTTACTTTCCACATGGGAAGCCAAGCAAAGATGATGGCATTCAGTATCCACAAATGCTTTCTTTACTTGCAAATATATTCACAGAAATAACTGAATAATGGATTCAAAGCATAGGGGTGGGAAAACATGAAAAGCTGCAATGTCACACAACTGAATGTCACACACACTGTTAGAGCTATATGCTGTTACAAATTTAGCAGCTGCTTGATATAAAGTCTGTCTACACCCCAAAACATTGTTGGTCAAGTGAAAAACACAAGAAAGTATTTAAACAATATGTACCACATTTAATTCCCAGTACTTCCAAGACATTTTCTGGTTTTAAAACCTTTAAAAACAGAAGCCCTTTATGATTTGCAGCTTCCTATGCATCACTTGACCAGAGCTAATATTATATTGCTGACATTATGTCAGAACTTAATGGGGTTGTCTTAATGATTATCAATGCCTGGTTTCTGGGAGATAGACAGTTCCAGCTGTCAGTCAGTACATAACATCTCTTCTGGCATGCCTGGATTTATGCAAGGGAGAAAGTCTCTTATTAATGCATCCAGATACTACTATGCCTAACTGCCACCTGGCTACACTGGAAAAAGGCACAGTCACATATGGCTACCTTTGCAGAGCAGCTTAACATCAGTGGCATTAAAAGCATTGTGTGAATCTTTGGGGGGGGCAGATTATCCCTGCTTCAGTCCTTGGCCACCTCCAGATATGGGGGGGTGGGCAGGCGGGGCTTATCTGAAAACCTGGGAAGACAGCTTCCTATGTCCAAAATTAATGCTTAGGTCTGGCTAACATATAGTGTGTATAGTATGGAAGATGAAAAGGCTAGGGAAAGTACAGGCAAATGGGTTCCATCAGGAGACCTGAAAAGCTGCCATTGGTTTCAATAAACTGGGCTCAGATAAAAGGAGATGCAACTGGGACTACTCAACAACAGCACTGCTTAGGCTTTGCCTCCAACTTTGCATGTCACTGTACATAGAAGAAGTCAGAAAAGCCACACACCAAACTTTGAGACATGAAGCTGAAGGAAAGCACCTTTGCAATGGCAAGGTGATAATGACTAAGTAATTGGCTTTGACTCTATTGTATTCATTATTTATCCGGAGTTCTAGGCTGAGTGGTCCCACATGAGGATGTCTCTATTACTTTATATAATACCTTTGAATTTCCCTCACCATTTGGGGAGCAAAGCAGACACTCCAAGGTGCAATATGTCAGTGTAAAGTATCAAATGAAGAAAGACACTTCTTGGCAGGCAGTGTACAGCTCAGGTTGAAGCTGTCATTAGAGTGTGTTGCTTTGAATAGAATGACAAATCTCAAAAGTGCTAAAAGCCTTTCGGTCAGTAAAAAAACAGAAACAAGTTCTCTCCAACAATGCCTTGATTAAATCACTACCTCTCTGAAAAAAACAAGGGTTGCTTTCCAGCCTAAACACGGGAGTGACTTCACTCAAGAGGGAGCAAATTTCTCCGTTCTTGTTTGGATGCTTGAAGCTCTGGACATGTGACTTAGGAGTTTTTTGAGGAGAAGCCATACAGTAATACTATAGATACAGAAAGTCACTCCCCCCCCTTTTGAGTGTGGGCCTTTTAGATGGAAAAGCATCATGGGGCCCTTTAGAGAGTAAGTCTGCACAGATCTTTTTCTTTCCTTTAGGTCATTAACTTACCCTTCTGAGTTAATTCCTTCCTCTAAAACTTGTGTGATGAAAGAAAAGGAAAGGAAGAAACCAAATCCAATTTATACTATTTAATTTGCTTTTTAGAGCATGTCTGGCTCCATTTTCAACATTATAGAAACAATGAACTCCCCCAATTACTGCTTGATGGATTCATGAAACATCAGGGTGGTCTCAGTTTTCAAGAGCAATGGGCATTTTCTCCCAAAGCCACATTACCCATTGTTAAATTCTCCGATTTGCCTAGAAAATTCTTTCAGTTGATTAAAATCACCCAAATTTGGATTTATTTAGCATCACATATAACATGGAAGAGGTATGATACCTGGGATCCAGAAGCACCAAACAGTGTACGTGCTCCTTCAGGGGAGTGCAACTCCATCTATGGCAGGCAATTGACCAACGTCTTTGACATAATGAGTTGCCTGATTCAAGCTCAGCTTATTTTCCTTCATCCATCCCACCACTGAATTTTGGCACTGGTCCAGAGACCTCTCCTGATGTAGATGCTCTACAGAAATAGAGCTGAGGTGTCATAAGAATGGTGATGGCAGCCTGCTGCAAAACTAATGATCATTCCCAGTGGCTTCATGTAGATATTAAATAGCATTGGGGATAATGTATCTGTCAGGAGCCTGAAAAGCCCTCTCCCTGTGTACATCTACACAGAAGCAGGTCTCTCTTGTGTGAATGGGCTTTGGAATCCTTCTTAGATAAACTATATTTGATAAGAAAATAACTGATTTACAGACAAGGGAAACTTGGCATTCCTGGCCAGTTTTGAAAGCTGACATAAATATTTGTGCATGTGTGTTTAAAACAACATGCTGCAGGTTATTAGACTGTATTAGATGAATATATTTTTTTTTTAAAAAAAACCCACAAGCCAGACAGTACTTGATCCTGGCTTGTAAAAATGTAGAAGGCAATTGCTTGGATAATTTTAGCTCTATTATTTTAAGACCTTCCTATAGGAATGAAGCCCCCGTTAACCACCTTTTGACCATCAGTGTGACTCCAGACTGATCTGTTGAACTTAAAAACACATCTGATCTGTACAATGGAGATTACGACCAGGTCCTGCTGCTCCACCTGAATAACTATAATGTGCTCATAAATCAGAAGTGGGCATTCCACTGTGACAGTATTCTGAATGGCCTACTGTGCTTAAGCCTGCGTTACCCATCAATGCTCTCTTGTACAAACACATATAGGTACTTTAAAGTACACTCTTATGAAAACACAAACAACAGGTTGGTACAGATAGGCCACACAAAGTCAAGATCTACAGAAGGCAGTACCTGGAGAGTTCTAAGAAATGAATGCAGAGGTAAAGCAATTAAAATTATTGAAACTGACTTTTGCTCAATGTGATCTATCTGTCTCTCACATTAGATCTCTCTACATACTTCTGGCTGAGGGGTATAAATTCTTTCTTTCTTTCTTTCTTTCTTTCTTTCTTTCTTTCTTTCTTTCTTTCTAGTATACGGCATATTTAAGTCAGTCTTTCCCAACCTGGTGCCCTGCACATGTTGTTGCACTATAACTGTCCTCATTCCTGACCATTTACCATAATGGCTAAGACTTATGGGAGTTGGAAACCAACAACATCATGAGAGCACCAGGTTAGGAAAGGATGTTATAAGTAAATGAAAGAACTGTTACAGAATACATTGAACAAAGCTATTTGTGATGCATGTAACAGAGAGTTAAATTAAACACAATTTCATAATTTCATTGTACAATAACAAAAATGACACATCCTATTTTTTAAATTAAAAATTGAGTCAGGATTTCATCTCATAATCATAATCAATTTTAAATGCTTCCAAAAATTTCAGTAATGCCTGGGGGGGGGGGGACCAAATAGCACCATCCTTCTAATTACAGGCTCTTTTGCTTGTCTTAATGCGCTGAATATTATAACGATTCTTACTTAGTCAATGTTGAAAATACCAATGTTGTACATGTATCTGATCTCCCAGCTGAGGCACTTGTAAAACTGCCCATAACTCCTTCTCCTTTGATCTGGACAAACATAGAAAACATCCAAAAGAATTTAAATACCCCACACCCACACAGAGAAAAATGACAGCAGGCCATAAACAATAGCGGTTCTCCCCCCCCCCCCTTTCAGACATGGTACAAATCATGGAAGACTGACAACATTAACAGGTGCCTGGAGAATATAGTCCACCAGCCAAACATAGGGACACTGTGAAGGTGCCCACAGTTTGAAACAGCAGGTAGGAATAGAAACCAGCAACAACTTATGTACAGTGGGTGGTCTGCTTGTTATCTTTTTACAAATGACAGCAATTTTCCACTTGGGAGACCTAAGGCAGAACTGAATGCAAGGTCATAAGGATTTGGACACACAAAGGTTAGGCCCACCATACGTTCTGCTACTTATAACTTTGGATTGCAATGCACCTGCAGAACAGATCATCTGTCTTATGTGCATCTACATTGTCTGGACCTCCCATCAGAGGCAGCCCATCAGGAAGTCACAGAGCTTGTTGCCTTCAGTGTTCTTGAAAATATAACTTTTGCACATGACAGTTACAGAACCCCGTAACCTAGAAAATCTCAAAATCAGCCAGACACCTTTTTAAAAAGTAAGTTTTATTAAACAATTTCGGAATATAATATCCAGGGTGTGTGGTTGTTCTAGAACAAAAGATATATACAACTAATAACAATAAACAATTGCAAAATGTATAAAATATTACAAGTGTGTTCTGCTTAACTTTACTCTCCCTTTAGTCTCCTTGCTTTATTATTGCTAGCACTACAAATCAGTGCTCAGGAAAAGGGAAACAAAAGTGTTGAAACCTTTCTGATGACACATAACTGTGGCTGCAAACGGAGATATGTAGCCTCTCATGATTAATGGTTTGCTCCCAGAAGAGCGGCAGGTTTAACGAATGTTGTGTGGTGGGAGTGTAAGAAGTCTCTCAGTTCAAATCTCTGCTTGTCACTCATGAAGTTACTTGGCGGTTTTAGGCCTGCCTTTGGGTGACCACATGCAAAGGAGGCCATGGCTCCAGTGCATTTAACACTTAGTTGCCTAGAAGGGTTTTCAGCTGACATAATTTTTTTCTCTCACACAAGCTGCACAGACTGAAATTACAGTGGTACCTCGGGTTAAGAACTTAATTCATTCAGGTGGTTTGTTCTTAACCTGAAACTGTTCTTAACCTGAGGCACCACTTTAGCTAATGGGGCCTCCTCCTGCTGCTGCGCCGCCGGAGCCCGATTTCTGTTCTCATCCTGAAGCAAAGTTCTTAACCTGAAGCACTATTTCTGGGTTAGCGGAGTCTGTAACCTGAAGCGTATGTAACCCGAGGTACCACTGTACTCTTCTGCAGGTGCTCAGGTAGCTGCCTTCTGCTGCCAGAGTATTAAGTGGTACAGTCTGGAGGCATCATTTTACACTGATTCAGTGCCTTATCTTTAAAGTCATAAACAGTTTGGGACCTGAATGCCTCTTCCTTTGTCGGCCTGTCCAGGCTTTAAGTTCACATTCCACTGCCAGGGAAGTTCTGAGTGTTAAACATGATGGCACCCAGCGGCGGAGCAAGCCAATTGGGCGCCTGGGGCGGTGTGCATGCCCTGCACCCAGGGGAGGGGCCAGCTGCCCATGGGGCAGGGCGAGCCAGGGTAGGATGCTCCACAAGGCCTCTAAGGAGTCTGCCTGCCTCCTCCCACTCAGCCGCCCTACAGCTGAGGGGCAGGCAGCGGGTGGACTATTTGGGGCAGCGTGGAGCCTGCGGGCACTCAAGCCACCATGTCTCTCCCAGGAGAGACGTGTGGCTCGGGCACACTGCAGGCCCCGTGGTGAGTGCCGCCCAGCATTTTGTCACCCCTCTCAGTGGTGACACCCAGGGCGAATCACCCCCCCCGCACCCCCTTCCTCCACCCCTGTTGGCACCACCACATTTGTGAAATGTCCTCACCTTCCATTTCACCACCAACTAAAGATGTACCTTTTAATTGGAAGTTGTATCTTTCTTGTTCTTGTTCTTTTTTAGTGTTTAGCCTTTTTTGCCATGTTTGGCTATCTTCAGTTCGCTAAATACTGTTGGTAATTTTAGGAATTTGTTAATTGTTTTGATGATGGTTCTTATTATAATCTGGTTAGCTTACCCACTTACTACACCAATGCGATAATCGGTGGAGCTTTCTGCCACTCTTGACTTTGGGAATTTAAAAATGAAAATAGTGGGCAGATAGAGGCATAGGGGATCTGATGCATGTAAGGATGGCTAAATTTATCCATTTTGGTTTCTCTCTGCTTCTATTTTTTTTTTTTTTTCATTCTTCAGTTCGGTTCATTGCAAGTCCACATCAGCTTGCATGTTTTTGATCATGAAAATTCATCAGCATTTTACTGTGAATTTCTGCTAATGCACATTTTTTTGCCCGAATTACAAGTAATTTTGCTAGATATTCTGCAGTTTTGCATGTTAGTTTCAGTAATGCATGCATTTTATATACACTTTACCCTACCTGGTATGTGCGTTTTTGCGCACATTACTTGGCTGGAGAACTACATTGCAAAATTCAGAGAAGTGCAAATTTTGAAGAAATGGCTGCAGTTTGGTTCAAATATTATTTGGGAAAGTGCAAATTAGGTAGATATTCTTTTAAATGCACATGGAACTGAATTTCTCTCTCATCCCCAGATACATGACAGCAAACAGCCTTGCTTCGCCCAGGTGTTACCCACCCAGCTAAAAAACAGACCACAGAAATGGGGTAGCACCACCAACAGGCAACAAACAAACAAACAAACAAACAAACCAGGGGGAAGAAATGACTCCAGGTTCTTTTTTTTAAAAAATAATTTTTATTAAGTTTTCCATTTTAACAATCCAATCAGATCACATTAAGTATTCCAAATTATATAAATACACATCATATAGTCCAAATATTCTGCCAAATTATAATTTTTTGTTGGGGCTTCCCATGCTTCAAGTTCAGTGGGGCTCTAATCATCTTATGTTTCTACTGCCTTGAGTTTCCAATAGTTCCTTCTTTAAATCTTTCTGTTGTTATCCTTCCTTCTTTCGTGGCCTCTGAGTTGTTTCCACAGGTGAGTTGAAGTAAACAATAATGTGCTTCTGTGTGAAGTTTGTATGACTCCTTTTTTTTGCAGCTGGTAAGTCTATTGTTTGCAGAATGTCCTCACACGCTGATGTTTATGCCGAGACAATCCAAAAGTCCTTCTCTAGTGGCAGACGCCATCTTCTCTCAGTTCCGATGAAATAAAATCTAGGCGTTTGCTCATTAATTTTCTCAGACAGGTTGCATCAAACATTAGTCTTTCCAGGGGAGATTTGACAAATCAGACTTGAAATACAGATATAATAACAAATTAAGA